CTGACACAATGACTGCTCTTTGTACGGTGAGCTGTGGATATTGCCTTTAGTTCTGCTGTATAGATAGAGCATCCATCTGGTAGCCTTTTCGATATATTAATATTAAATTCAGTGTCAAATTCAAAATGGTTATTTATATCTCCTGTGAAATCACCATGGCGCCTAATTCTGGTTGTAGATAATTTCCTCTTCTTAGCAAGTAAACCGCCTATAGAAGTTAAATTATCTTCAGAATCAGGTGAAGAATAATCAGTGATGGAAACTTGATCTATATCATCATCCAAAGATTGTCTTCCATGACGAGTTCTAAAAGCCAGCTGACAATTGTCGACCAGATAAATTACTAATAGTAGCTCCTATTCCATCTTCATCAGCAGTGTCAGAATCACTTAATTCATTGAATGGTTTTTGTATCAAGCGTGAATTGCCATTTAACCTCTTTATCACACAGTACACAAAGTAGCATTTTGGTGAGAATTATTAAATCTTTTCCATATGCCACTAAAATGTTTTTAGATAGTAATTTAGTTGTTTTTCAAATGTCAAATATGAATGCGAGAGAGAGAGAGAGAGAGAGAGAGAGGGAGAGAAATGGGGTTTAATGCCCATTCGACTCAAACTAGGTCATTTCGGGACTAACATGGTTTAATTTTATTTCAATACTTATCTTGTGCGTAGGGGTCTTTAGCAGTGGGATAAAACCGGAGGAACCGGAGAAAACCCATGAGGTTGGACAGGCGACCCCTCTCCTTATCACGTACAACCGGGGATTCGAAACCACGCCAGCACATGCACGTGCTAACCATTCGGCCACCCAATCCCCCAAATATGAATGCAAGTTAAACCCCATTTTATTTCATTTCATTTCATTTGTCATCATTGAGTTACTGTTTCCTAACTTTCCACGAAACTATTTATTTATAGCTTCTAATATGATATTCACTTTCTTTAAATTACTTTCAGAAAGATGTATAATGTAATGTAACATCAGGTTGTAATAATTCAGTTTTCCCTCAGACCGGGTGCCTTATAGTTAGCAGTGATACAAGGCAATTACCAATTTTCCATGTTCTTGGCCTGAAGAAATAAAATAATAAAAGTCAAGTTTTTATTATTATGCAAGTGGAAAAATACAATTATTCATAGTATGATTTGAATAAATACAACTGATTTGAAGTTGGAATTATTATTTGTCTAAGATGACTGGGCATTTACAAATTGAAATAGCTACTCTTCATCAAGAAAATACATGAATATTTTTCCCAATTCACCTGGATTTTATTGTAGGTCTTTGTACGTGAAATAGCTTTATTTAACGTCCGCTACCACCGAAGTGATATTGCAGAAAATTAACAAATTCGGATTCCCTTTTAAAGGAAATTTACTGCACTATCGCTGGATTGTATTATATAGGTCATGTCAGTTTTTTTCAAAATGGCGCCCAGAACACAAAACAAACATTGCAATTCAGGGCTGACTATTGTCGAGGCTGTATCCTAAAAATGATTTTTTGAATATTTAATCACACAGAAACACAAGTATGCACATTCAGTTATGATATAATATTAAATTAGCTTACCTCAAATACCTCGAAATATACTGTTTGGTCAGTTTGTCCGCCCGCCATATTTCTATTAGTCACACATCCTTCGGCCAATTAAAATGGACGTATATTTTGTTTTAACCGAAACGAAATATTTGCGTTATAAATAGTAAACGAGCTTGATTGACCGACCACTGCTAATGTTTTTTCGTGAAACGGTATAACTGCAATCAACACACGGCCGCCATTCTCGATGATTGACAACTCACATTTTTCCTCGTCCACCAAAGAACCGTTAGGTTTCTTTGAACATACTGTAATAACATTGGGATTATCAGTAAATCAGCTTTAATTATCCCGCTTTGATCGTTGCCATTTCTTATATTTTCCACAAAAAAACTTTGCCTTGTACGCACTAATTTATCAATTGGTATTGCCACCTACGACAAGCATGTCAACGTGCAGCTCACGGATTATCGTTAACAATTTCTAGGGGCTTGTAAAAAAAGATTGCATGTCGTGTAAATATTTATTTTGTTTTTTGTGTAGGTCATTTTCAAATAAATTCATCAGCATATTATTCGTTTTAAATAAATATAAAACTTTTATGAGAAACGATGATTATCAAAGAACCGTAAGTGCAACTAATGTTTTATCGTTTGGTTGAGCCTTTTACTAACCACGTGTTTCATGTTAATAAATATTTTCTTTCGTGTTTTGTTTGAATTGGCCTATTTCTAATAAATTATCCCGAGTCCCAAACGTCGTTAACCCGAGTCCCAAACGACGTATACCAAAGTCCCAAACGTCGTATACTGGAGTACCAAATGTCGTGGTCATATTTTTTTGAGTCCCAAATGACATGTAATCAACCTAGAGTTGTTGTTAGTGTTTGTCGGATAGATCCTTTATACTTACTGGCGCTAGGTAATTTCGAGGCTAATATTGTTCAATTTTATTTGAATGATTTGCTTGCGCGTACCGTAGGAGTGTATTAGAAACAGTGTTTGCGCAGGTTCGAGAACGGCTGAAGAACATGAAAACACTTTCATGAGTCTCGAACATGAGAGAACGGTATCCATGGTAACAAGATGAATTAAATTTATACAATCTGTTACGATAACTTGTTTAGTATTTACTTCGCTATTAAGCATAATTTTGATAAATTATGACACCGTTTTACTCCTTTTCAATTCTTTGGATGACGATTACATCACCTTTTGATACGCCCTCGTCCGTAGGTTTGTCCGTCGTCTACAGAACTGATTATTTTAAAATTGATATGTTGTTTATTTTAATGAGATGAATCCTATTTAATTTCAATAATTTCTGTTAGTTTCTTCTGGAGTTATGGCCCTTGTTTCACTTTGTGAAATTCATTTGAATCTTTTAAATTAGTGAAACGAAGACGTCTATTAAATTTCTGCGATTTCTGTGAATTATGTCTAGAGTTGTGGCCCTTGTTTCACTTTTTCGAACCTTGTGAACGCACGAACAACAAAATTATCATCCGATTTGTATGAAAATTGTATGCATTATTTAAATTCGTAAAACACAAAACAAAAAAATCTGTCAAATTTCAACAATTAAGGCCCTTGTTTCAGTTTGTAGAACCTTTGTAAACCCACAAACGACGAAAATTATAATCTTGTATGAAATTTTCTTGTAAATGCCCACATTACCTACAAAAGAATGAATATGCGACAATCCCTGTTGACTGCGCAAACGATTAAACTGCTGTGGGCATATGTTTCGTTGCCTAGCAACCTAACTTACTTCATGTTATACTGGCCACATACTACATCCAATTTTCGAACGGTATTAAACTTCTAAATTAATAAATGCACCCATGATGTTGTTTTCTCAGCAGTTATCGATGCGTCGACCTTTGTAAAACCACAAACGACGAAAATTATAATCTTGTATGAAATTTTCTTGTAAATGCCCACATTACCTACAAAAGAATGAACATGCGACAATCCCTGTTGACTGCGCAAACGATTAAACTGCTGTGGGCATATGTTTCGTTGCCTGGCAACCTAACTTACTTGATGTTATACTGGCCACATACTACATCCAATTTTCGAACGGTATTAAACTTTTAAATTAATAAATGCACCCATGATGCTGTTTTCTCAGCAGTTATCGATACGTCGACCATGTTTGTTCTCCTTCACACCAGCTATGAGGTAGTGTGGGATTTGAGAACGGGAATGTGTTCGTGAACGCATTCCAGACTGCTCAAGTCCGACAAGAACCCATTCTTCGTCCGTTCTCTGCACCGGAACACTGTTTCGAATACACCCTAGGGGTATTTAGCAAAGGGAGGAAACCGGAGGACCCGGAGAAAACCCACAAGGCTGGACAGGCGACCCTATTCCTAGTCACATTCAAGTGGGGAATCACATAATAATGGCCTATTTCAAATAAGATATTTGCATATAAAGAAAGTAGGCTTACAGCCTCTTTCAAATGTGATATTTGCATATAAAGAAAGTACAAACTTAAATCGTCAGTGCTGGATAAACTAGCCAAAGGATTTGGCTGAATCAATTGGCGCTAAACTTCACCTAGTTTATCCACTGACATACGCCCGAATCAAACATGTTTGATATATTTGGCCGAATTGTATTTGAGTGGTGTGTCCGCTTCGCCGAAGCATTCGTCTGATTTTAGAATTCATTAGCCAATCACCACTCATTCATATCGAGTGGGTATCGCAAACTAGCAGTCGAACTGTGACACGGGTGCTACAGCCAACAAATTCCAACTGCCATACTATCGGCTTAAATGCACGCCAATGGGACCTCAGGTTTTGTGTTCCATTGAAACGACTAGAAATGAAATGAAATGGGGTTTAACGTCCTACTGTTTTGCTCCGAACTGGGCTAATGAAGACAGGCATACACCACACAGTGTGCTATGAGGGAAATTTTGCCCGGACAGCGGCACTGCGGTGTATCGAATTCCAACTGTCAAGGGATCTTTTACGTGCACGCCAACGTGTACAAGGGACCTCGTTTTTTCATTTCATCCGAATGACTAGACAGCTGTCCTTGTCAGGCCCTCCGTCCTGCATCACTGACAAGGGGGAACCACGCCGGGAAATCTGGGTGAACTTTCTCGGCCAATGCAGGGATCGAACACCCGACCTCCAGGCTAGCGAGCCAGCGTCTTACCCACTTAGCCACCATGACGACTAGGCATGGAATCCATGCTGAAAAATTCAAATGAGCTTTCTCGGTCAACACTGGGAGCGAACCCGCAACCTCCCGGGTACCAAGCCAGTGCCTTACACACTAAGCCACATGGCTCTCTTTTAATTACTGTGACTCTCCAGTCACATGACAAACAAGGGTAATTAAAACAGATTTTCACGGTTTAGGTAAGATCTTCGGGATTAAAATGGTTTTAGATATCACACAGTTTGTATATGGTAAGGTATCTTAAACAGTTTATTACATGTCACATATTCATATTTTTCAGTTTCCATATTAGATGCCATAGCAAATCAAAGATCATATAATAAAATAAGTCAAAAAACCCAAATATGGAAAAAGAAAGAGCTGAAGAAATGGTGATTTGAGCACCTATGCTTTCTCATAGGTGTTTTTGGAGGGTGAGTGTTCAATTCTAATAGAAAAGATTGTTGTTATGGTATTTTAGAATCTCACCATAATGTGTTTGGCACAATATATCCCGGTTGGAGCTGATGTGACATAAACCTCCATTTCATTTTATTGTTTTGAAATTTAAAATTCAGTTTAGTATAGTAAATTTGTACACGTACATGTATGTGCACAAACAGAATCTTACTTATGTCCAGATACATGTAGATATGACTGTCTCATCTGTGGGGGACCACGGTGGCCAAGTGGGTTAGACACTGGCTCGCATATTTTAAGGTCGCGGGTTTGCAGTAAGACATTGCAGTACGGAGGACTGGGCTAATGAAGTTGGGCATATGCCATACAGTGTGCTACGAGAGAAATTTTGCCGGGTACCGTGACCTTAAGGCCTTCTCTTGTATCAAATTCTAACTGCCAGGGGATCTTTTACATGCACACCAATGTGTACACGGGACCACGTTTTTTTGTTCAATCTGAATGACTAGACAGATGTCCTTGTCAGGCCCTCCGTCCTGCATCACTAACAAGAGGAAACCACGCCGGAAAATCTGGGTGAACTTCTCGGCCAATGCAGGGATCGAACACCCGACCTCCAGGCTAGCGAGCCAGCGTCTTACCCACTTAGCCACCATGACGACTAGACAGGGAATCCATGCTGAAAAATCCAAATGAGCTTTCTCGGTCAACACTGGGAGCGAACCCGCAACCTCCCGGGTACCAAGCCAGTGCCTTACACACTAAGCCACATGGCTCTCTTTTTATTACTGTGACTCTCCAGTCACATGACAAACAAGGGTTATTAAAACAGATTTTCACGGTTTAGGTAAGATCTTCGGGATTAAAATGGTTTTAGATATCACACAGTTTGTATATGGTAAGGTATCTTAAACAGTTAATTACATGTCACATATTCATATTTTTCAGTTTCCATATTAGATGCCATAGCAAATCAAAGATCATATAATAAAATAAGTCAAAAAACCCAAATATGGGAAAAGAAAGAGCTGAAGAAATGGTGATTTGAGCACCTATGATTTCTCATAGGTGTTTTTGGGGGGTGAGTGTTCAATTCTAATAGAAAAGATTGTTGTTGTGGTATTTTAGAATCTCACCATAATGTGTTTGGCACAATATAGCCCGGTTGGAGCTGATGTGACATAAACCTCGATTTCATTTTAATATTTTGAAATTTAAAATTCAGTTTAGTATAGTAAAACTGTACACGTACATGTATGTGCACAGACAGAATCTTACTTATGTCCAGATACATGTAGATATGACTATATCATCTGTGGGGACCCATGGTGACCAAGTGGGTTAGACACTGGTTTGCATATTTTAAGGTCGCGGGTTTGCAGTTAGACGATGCAGTACGGGAGGCCTTACAAGGACAGCTGTCTAGTCGTTCAGATTGAACAAAAAAACGTGATCCCGTGTACACATTGGTGTGCATGTAAAAGAGCCCCTGGCAGTTAGAATTTGATACAAGAGTAGGCCTTAGGGTCACGGTACCCGGCAAAATTTCTCTCGTGGCACACTGTATGGCATATGCCCAACCTCATTAGCCCAGTCGAAGCTGAACAGTAGGACGCCAAACCCCATTTCATTTCATTTTTTTCATTTTGTCTCATCTGTGACAAAGCAAACCAACACATTACAATACAATTTAATTAAATTAAAACTTTCGTCTATTTAAATATTGAATCGATTTAAGTCAACTAAAACATAGTATGTTTTTTTTCTCAGTTAACTACATCAGAAAGATCAAGACAGTTGGAAATGGCTATTCATATTATGGAAACTTTTTCTCACAGAGCTTGATAATCAGGTAAAATGTAAGTAACATACATATTTGTATTTTTAATCATCAACTAGTTCTATACACTTGATTGGTAATCTAGTTATTCTTCTTGGGGCAATGCCTAGGACTCTCCTATTCAAGTCTTGGCATTCTTGATTTTTGACAATCACATCCATTGATTTTCTTCAAGTTGTGATAGACCCTATGTGTATTTTTACAGTAAATAGCAGTATAAAAATGGACAATATTTTACTTTTCAAATAGATTTTAATAGGTAATATCCAATTTGTTGTCGATGGAAATAAAATATAATAATCTGCCTGGGTCTGTTACTGGACAAGACACAATAAGTGTTACCCAAAGATGAAACAAAATAGAGACTCAGTCTCGATGTGGCAAAATAAATTGTTTATTTAAACATTGTGAACCATAAATAGTAAGAAAGTATTCTTATTGCCTACTTTTTTATTTTTTAGGCTGGAAGATTATTTGATGTATGATAACAACAAGAGATCCCAAGCATCAATTTATTTTATAATTCTGGAAAAGAATGCATTTGACCCAATTTTTGAATATTTTTTTTTTGTTTTTACTGTTAAATATTCATCCCAAACACAATTAGATTTTAATTCTCTACAGAAATTTATGTATAATATAGAATGTAAAGTGACATATAAATCACTTAGAATTTGGTCGGAAATCATAAAGTATTTAATAGGCATAGTCTAGAAACCAAATGTAGATCAAATATACCCAGAATTACAAAAAACCTTGACCTACATTAAGGTGACTTTCCCTTGCTTATGAAATGAAATAGGGTTTAATATCCTACTTTTCTGTGTTATTATGGTAATTCTGCCCTACAACCTACTCTTATATCAAATATTTCAACTGTCAAGGGTTGTTTAAAGGGAACCCAGGAGGGCCGAATGGTTAACACACGCACATTGGATCAGAAGGGTCTGTCATTGAGTCAGATAATTCAATTGTCAAGGGTTCTTTAAAGTAAACGCAGTGGGGGTAGTTTCAATTCTGGGCTTATACCCAATTATCCCTTGCCATGTCCTACACTACTGACGTGTGGGAACTATGTCGGAAAATCCAGTTGAAATTTCTCGGCCAATGCACTCACTGAACCACAGTGGCTCCTCCTTGCTTTTGACTTGTGATTATTTATATATACTTTGTACATATTATTTAATGTTTGCGATTTTCTCTGATATTTTTTTATTTTTCAATCCTGTAATCTTGATGCTTTGCTCCTTTTATGTACAAAATATTCATTTTGTTTGAGGAAAAGGTTCTACATCATTTTATTACTCCTGCAAAATAGTGCATTTTTCTTTTGTTAGTTTTCTGTGTATGCTAGTTATTTCTAGATGCCTCACGAATCACTTGTAATATGACTTTGTAGCACTTTTCAGTTTCTGAAAGTATTTCAATTTAGTGCATAATTAATCTAATTAGGGCTTGGTTTGGATGTTATTAAATTTAGATATATTTGAATTATATATTTTTGGGGTATGGGGTAGGGATCTTTCTTTTCTCAGTTCTTGTTTTCGGGTAAAGAAAAAATTAAATAGCTATTTTGTATTTTGTGATGTGGGGGGGAGGGGGGCAAAGTATAACAAAAATTTTATTAGTATTAGAATTATATCTCTGTTTTTCTGTTAACATTTCAAATGATGTCTATTTAGTTTTGATTTGGTGGTGTTAATTTACTTTTTCCTATCATTTTATGAATAAATGATAATTTAACAAATAAAATTATTGTTACCTCATTTATCAAACTTTACAGGTTAAACAGAGCAAAGGGGGTGGGGGGCTGCATGGGAAAGATTGCTAAATTGAGGGAAAATAAAACACAAGTTTTTGTTGGTGGTTATACACAAGTTTTTATGAAACCACACAAGTTTCAGAAATTTCAACACAAGTTTCAGAAATTTCAACACAAGTTTCAGAAATTTCAACACAAGTTTCGACACAAGTAATGTGTAGATTTTCACACAAGTTTGTGTTGTTTGGTAAATTTTAACACAAGTCTTGTGTTGTTTCAACATTTAACACAAGTTTGTGTTGTTTCAACACAAGTTTGTGTTGTTAAATAGAGACACAAGTTTGTGTTGTTTCAACACAAGTTTTTTTTCAGTGTAGTAATCTTAGACGCAGGTAACACCCTAATTTTGATGTATCTGTACTATGTCTAAAACCTACACTCCATTTCATTCCTTGTATTATTACATCATTAGCAGTTACGATCACATCAGTCTTCACTATCTGATCAAACTAAAATTAAATGTCCAGGACTCCATTATGTCTAATTCACCTAATAACCTTTCTAAAGCTGTAACATCTATCTCCACCATACGCTGAAAGAAATATTTTGTTGGGGGTATACCTAAACTGGTTGATTTGCTGTCCTCCGTCAGATTTTGTACATTGGTTAACGCATCTACAACTGGAAATGTAGATTTACCAATTAACACTTCATTAATATATTTCAAACTGTTCTGTAGAGAACTTTTCATTTGGATCATATCTTCATGTAATGTCTGTAACATTTTAATTCCTTCCTCACTAATTTGATCTATTTCACATAGGGGGGGGGGGGGATTATGGCCCTTGATTATGGACATCTGTAACTTGTCATTGATCGTTATATCGCGAGTAATAAGAGTATAGCCGCCCAAACAAGCACACCCCCCCATACACACACTCACACACACAGACATACATTGTACCCAATACTATGGAAGCCTATAACTACCATTCATAATTTCTACTTTTCGCCTCTTCAGAACGCGAAAGTCGAAAAGTAGAAAAGTAGAAGTTACGATAAAATGTGAGGCGACAACACGCTATACAAGCCAAAAGCAACTCGAAAATAGGAAATTAAGAAATAACACACAGCGATTATAGCGCCTGACGTTTTTTTCCTAATTTCTTATTTTCGACTTGCATTTTGGCTTGTATACCGTCTTGTCGACTTTCGGCTTAGTCATATTTTTGTATCTATTGATGTCAATAAGAAGGCGCCAACACGCATACCAAGCCAAAATGCAACTCGAAAATAGGAAATTAAGAGATAAGAGAGTTCTACTCATATAAGAAATGTGTGTTTAAAGCATCCGAAAACCTGAAAAAAATTACTGAATTTATGATCGTTTCAGTACCCTAATTTCAAATGGTCATATCTCATCGAATGTTCGGCCTAGAGAGGTATAATTTTGGATTTGTTAGCTTAAGCCCATGTACTATAACATATATTTTTTTTATAATTTTTTGGGAGGGGGTCATGTTCCCAACTTTCCGAAATCTGGTCCACTTGACATGGAATGACCCATACAGTTGCCGGTTTGATCACCAGTGTTTCGCATTGCACCCCTACTGCTCTATGTGTGCTCTCAGTGCACCCAAGTCTCTGCTGTCACTATGCTTTCAATACATTTGTATCTCATTCATTGAACAGGTACGGCCTGTATACAAAATAGGGCCCATTGGGGTGAATATAATATACTCACACATTACATCAGGGCGTATGACGATTCGTCATTTACCCTGTTAACACTTTATTCCCCCAAAATCCACGTTTAAAGATAATTTCTTTGTATTTCATAATTGATATGATTCAACGTAAACAATTGACTTGCCAATGGGAAGAGATCCTGTCCTATTTATGACTAACGTACACTGAAATAGATATGAATTCTGCTTTCAAGGACATAAAAGAAAAAATAATATCTATGCAGCTATATAAAGACGACTTCCATGTATGGTAATGCTGTACATAAATACACGAAACCACACCGAACACATGACTAATCTTTATACATTTCAATAGATCCGCCACGTGATTAGGGTATGGGTCTTTCACGCACGAACACAAAAAGAAAATAACATATTTATGGAAGGCTGGGTCAACCTTGTATTTTCAAACGACCCACTAAACAATAAAACTAGTAATATTTCTAGAGAATCCCCAATAATTTCATCATCTATCCAGTTTAAAGTGCACGATGCAGGGTACAATGATCTTTCAAGAATACCCGATATCACTTCTCATTTGATGAGTTGTCGAGGTTAATACAATTTTGCTGTGCTTTTCCCAACTATGTCATTTATAGTTTCTTTTGTCTCTTTAACAATGGCTTACGATTTGCAATAATTTGTTGTTACACGAAAATAGAGTTTCACATTTCACTTGGAAAATATATTTTATCTGGTGCTAGAAACAACTCTTGCGAGATAATTCAAGCAATTTAAAATAATACAAAATACAACGTCACAGTCATTATAATTAAAATGAAATGGGTTTTAGCGTCCTACAGCTCTGCTCCGACAAGTCATAGGCCTACAACTTCGTTTCCATTATTGACATTTTTTCCAGGCGAAGTACGAATTTCGAGTAGGTTTAACAGCCACGGATTTCCGCGACAGGTGGCCACGACATGTAGCTTTTAGCACTACTGTTTTCCATGGCCACGACAAGATGTAGCTTTAACCACACGCCCAGCTCGATGTTATACTGGGCAAGTTGCCAGTGATCTGAATTTAATATAAAAATATTATGAAAGGGCTATTTTTTATTTCTGTCGTGTAGATTTATTTTGATAATAATATAGCTATTATACATAATAAAGCGGCCCGCTGTATTTATTAAGGCTTTGATTCTCTGTTCAGTTAAAAAATCAATTTATTTAATGTCAACGTGCAACTCTCACGTATACAACAAATGACCAGAGAAGTTTTCCCGGGGAATTATTTACAGTTCATTGGGTCCTATATTACTTGGAATTTGTTTTTTATCTGTCCAACCTCGTGGGTTTTTCCAGGGTCCCCCGATTTTCTCCCACTGATAAAGACCCCTAAGCGCAAACGAATTATTGAAACCAAAAAAACAAAACACAACACAATTTATATGGAAAAACAATTACTGGTTTGTACACATATAGCCCGACCGACGTTTCGATAAGTATCCACTTGTCGTTATCAAGCACAAATGATAATTAGTAAACTAAAAGATAATATTTATATGTTAAGAAAAAGAAGCCATAAGATCTTTGGTGTTACAATACAGGGTGATTGATTCAATTGGTAACTTAAAGCTGAAGTCCGATTGCAAAACTACAGAAATAATTAAATAGAAAAAATTAACGCCCTAAATAATCGCCATTCTCGTATAAAATCTGTAAAACGTTATAACTTAACCATCAGTATTTACAACTAGTACTGGAGTAATATGAACCGAGAACCAAGCATGACCAGTAATTACCGAGCCTTGAAGTCGTCGCCGCCATCTTGGATTTGTGATGTCATACCGAAAGCAGCAATCGTGCCAAGATCGTAACTCAATTAGGCCTTTTCCAAAGAATGTTGCCGCCATCGTAATGATTATTGACAGACTTCGATAATAAAAACACCGTAGATTACAAAATGACGAGCAGTTCGACTTCGGAAAAAGCAACGGACAATTCGTGAGAGCATGACCGTCTGTTGGGGTTCTCAGGCCCCGGCAGCAACTTCGTGAGCTTTGGCAAAACCTTTGGCATGCAAACGAATTGCCGAAAGACCTTTGCGAAGGTTCATTTTCGTATTTATTGAATTCGTGTCTCCATTTTGTCCTTTATCGTGAGAGCATTTTGTCATGTCGTGCCATCTTCGTCTTTACTTCGTTTATATTAACTTTAGCCTCTTGTGCGTACACAAGATTTTCCAAGTGATCAATGGCCATACCTCTGGTAGTAATTATCGGAAAGCAATACACTTCATACACAATCGGATATTATCTTTAGTCCCGAGAATGTCTACGAGATTTTTCAAAGTGATCAAGGGCCATAACTCCGACAGTAATAATCGGAAATTGTTCAAAAGTCAATAGGCACGATTTGGCAAGATTGCTAACGATGGTCTTATGTGGGGCAAAAAATGGACAACCGAATTCAACACGAAAATGAACCTTCGCAGGGTCTTTTTGGCATTCCAAATCTTGGCCATCGCTCACGAAATTGCTGCCGGAGTCCGAGAAACTCAACAGGCGGTCATACGATTGCTTAAAATGCCCTCACGAATGCTCGCATGATTTTTACGATCAAAGCCGAATTTGAACATTTAAGTTATCGTGTATCCATCTGGTGTCAATTTCGGGACAGCGTGACGACCGCATAACAAATGTACAGACACTGACTGAAGACAGCAGATCAACCCGGATAGATGAACCTTCATATACTACTATTATATTAGCGAATTATTGAAATAGAATTGAAACATATGTTAGTCCCAAAATAACCTTGGGTGTGTCTATTGGAGATTAAAATCACAACCTGCTGCTATGACACCATCTATTGTATATTTCAGATGTTATTCACAGGGTACAACAGAAACAAAACATGGTTGATACATGATATGTATTGTAATGTTCACCATTATACCAGTGAACAGGCTACAGTTATAACAAAAAATAAATTAACACCCAAGTTCGACAAACTATATATTACATGCTTCTTCCCTACAACCCAGTTCAACAAACTATCTAAGTCTCTTCTTAATACAATAAAGTCAAGGCTAATTAATTGTGTTGTTCTGATAACCCGCCCGAATACCCGTTTTCCTTCTACTAATTACACACTTCTAAAATTATATGGTCAAATTTAGTGAGGAGACACAAAGTCGATCTATACAATTAGTAAACTAATATGATGTCAAACTTATTTTTAACAAAAATCCAAAGGTATGCTTTCAAATATTTATGCCATAAAAAATCACCAACCTTATTGGAATAGGTCTTTTCGTGACCTGTTAATGTAGGGCAAAATGGAGAAATAAAATGCCAAGAATGAATAACGAGTCGTTAACTAAACTGAATATGACTAATAATTAAGACCTATTATTATTATTATCAAGTTTTCCTACACCCGGCGATTGTGCAATATATATTTTAATCAATAAAGATTTATTAAATGTGTCTAAATCCCTAACCCAGTTCAACAAACAATCTAATACATGTCTCATTTCTTCCCTACAAGTTTCTTAAACAGGAATTTAGCAAACTATATAATATCTTCTTTCAAGGGCAATTTGCAATTGATGTAACGGGTATGTAATAAACACTATTACATATTGTACAGAACACAATTACTATTTTAATTATAGCGACCTTTTTCATAAACATCACCCTTTACATAGCACAATATTATATACCGAACTGTTGTTCATAAACATTACACTTTACATAGTACAATATTATATACCGTACTGTTGTTCATAAACATCACACTTTACATAGTACAATTAGTATATAGTTCACCACACTTCACATAGCATTATATTATATACCGTACTGTTGTTTATAAAAACCACACTTTACATAACACAATATTATAATATTATATACCGTACTATTCTTCATAAACATCACACTTTACATAACACAATATTATAATATTATATACCGTACTATTCTTCATAAACATCACACTTTACATAGCACAATATTATAAACCGTACTGTTGTTCATAAACACCACACTTTACATAGCCCAATATTATAATATTATATACCGTACTATTGTTCATAAACATCACACTTTATATAGCACAATATTATATATACCGTACTGTTGTTCATAAACACCACACTTTACATAGCATAATATCGTTTATCACCCAGTAATACACTCTACAGTAGATATCGCTTGCGTGATAACTTTCATAATCAATAACTTATACACATTGTCTGAAGTATAAGATCTATTGGACCAACAACTGCTCAATGAAGGTTTGTACTTAATCACATTCTGGTACCACGAGGCCTGGGAAAGTATGTTACAGATACAGATAAAGAAAACATGTGATTGCAGTACATGGTATCTATAATTGTTATTGCAATATATTTTTATATCCACCGATGTTATTACCTCGTTGGTTGTGTATCACAGAATCGTCTTAAATTTACTTCACTGTCCGCTCAGGTAAAATCCTAACGTTTGTTTGTTTTTTACGAGTACGGTTTCAACCAGAGTATGTGTAAATATGCTGTTCTGAAAATATTCACCAAACCATTGCACATGTGACGATAGACGCATAACGTATCCTCTGTTAATTTCAAAACAGCAAAATCTTATTTCATTTCACATACAAGTATTTATCACCCAATAATACATTCTATAATAGATATCGCTTGTGTGATAAATTTCATAATCTACTGCGATATTACATGAATTTGATTGGTCAGTTGAAAAGGAACTCCTTTTTTTATTTCCAAATAACAGATCATTTTTTTATTAAAAGTAACTTCTTTTTTTATTATTAAAAATGAACTATTTTTATTTAATTGGCCGCGAAGGAAACACTGGGTCAATATAAAGGACTTTGCAATGGTTGAATTGCTGTCAAAAAATGATGTATCACTACTCCGTAATGTAATAAGGTGCAGTGAAAGTGAAATATATAGTAAAGAGCCTTGGTTTTGTTTTTCTTTATCGACTTGTGTTGATGTTTTTTGATATCAAAAACGACTCGTAGGAGATTCTCCATCTAAGATTATTAGAGATATGGCCTTTTATATTGATGACACGGATCGTCATATGTCATAGTCAGGTCAAAATAAAATACAGTCCACCCCCCCCCCCCCCCAACAATTGCTACAAAAGGTTTCCCAACTGATTCTGGTAGGGTTTAGTGTACTGTATAACATACTAAAAGTTTACCAAAGTAGGACCCCCGAAAAAGTGTGTTTTTTAATTCAAGATGGTGCCAAAGATGACCACCGAAACGTCTTAATGTAACTATCAACTCAAATTTGAGCTTCCTGGGGACTATTCCTAGGTTTTGCGGGGCAAAGAACACATTAAGATCATTAAAATTATGTTGGTCTATGTCAAAAATGGCGCGCCAACGCCTCCAAATGAACGCAAATCCATAACTATTGACTCAAATTTGATGAGTAGCCCTGTCCATATATATTGTTATAATCATTACAATTAAAGCAAGATAGTGAATTAATATATTATACAGTATAATTTAAATACGTAGATACATACCAGATAATAACTAAATTAAAAATCATATCAAAGTAGCTGTGAATAAAAAAAATACCAAAGGATTCACATTTTAAAAAATGGGTAACAATTTATGGCCCACGCTATATAACATTACAATTATTTATTCAATTCCAGTGGATCAAGTGGTGGTGATCATAATTGGTTTGAATGGGAGCTGATTGCACTGGGACGCATGTCATGCCTAAATCCGGTCTATGTAAGCCAGGGCCCAATCAGCCACATACCAACAGTTTCTTCCCCTTTCATCCCATTAATTTAAAAATTTAATTTTGTTTTATTTCTTCGGTTGTTTTCTCCACATCATCGTGGTCAAAATAATTTCTTAATAAGCCATGTCGGTAATGTGCATATTGTCATTGTTCACTTTGACCTCTATTAGACAACCACTCAAATATCTGCATATCTAAAGCCTTTTGTGCATCCAATTTTCTGTACACAGGGCTTTTGATTGGTAGGTTGATCTGGAGTCGAGCGAAAGATAAACAATTCAACCCCAAATAAATAGATGGCTCTCATAACATATCGTAATATTGTTAATCTTTACGATGCAATAATAAAAAGTCATAACATTTGATATATTATATAATAAAAACTAATAGACTGTAATAATAACTAATAGTCAAGTAAAGTTTTTACAGCCTAATTTACACACTTCTTCATAATTACGATATCTTGTATAGTAATGCACATACAATCCCACAATAACTAATATAGGAGTTATGGTTTAGACCTGAATGTCCGAAGTCTACAGAGTAGATGATAATCTCTACTGTAAAAATAAATATAAATCTTGACCACTTGGATTTCAACGCGTTTGTAAAACTTGTCCAAACCGGCCTAGTTTTAAGTTGGTCAAATTTACCGCCAGTAGCATCTTTGTTAGAACATTCTTGTCAGTCAAAAGTTGGATTTGAGTCCAAGGTTTCTGTTCCTCTCAGGGTCCATGTTCCATGTCAAAGACTGCATAACCTTTTTAACAGATCACTTACAAACATTTATTTTTACAGACATTGCAATAATTTTTGGCTTCGGTCAGGTAAAAAATAGGCCCATCGAAAGATTTTACCAAACACTTATAGGTGGCGCTGGTTTGTTTATTTTGCCTGCATTGCACACACGACATTTGACGCATAACCGCTTCCTTTTGTAATTGCTAGCTTGTTTATTTTGCCTGCATTGCTAACAGGACCTTTGACGCATAACTTATTCTGTGTTAGTTTCAAAATAAACTAAACAAGAAATATATTTGATATACAAATAACCAAGTTCTATTTGTTTTTGACTGAACTAACATATTTATGGTATGGATATGTCCTGGTATCTTGATAACACCGATCAACTGAACTATGTTCTGTAATATAAATATCAGTATCGTTCTATGTTCTTTATTTTTACAGAAGCTTGTATACTAAATGTTTTATTGTTATCAATAAACCCGTTCGTCTCATCCTCTAGTTTATTCCACACTCTAAACTTACAACTACCCCATCCATAACCACCGGGTTTAAATGTCTGTATATCTCGAAGCACTAACGATTTACTTAAATCGTTTATATTTAATAGTTTTAGTGTAAAACTAGCTGTAACAGTTTTAACTGTTTTATCTTCTACTCTCCTCAACCACACGTAACACCCTAATCCTGATGTATCTGTTTGGTGTCTAACAAATACATGCCATATCATTCCTTGTATTATTACATCATCACCATAGTAGTTCTCATCTGTTTTCACTATCTGATTCAAACTAAAACTAGACGTCCAGGTTGGTGAGTCCATTGTTTGGACCTCACCCAGTAACCGTTTTAAAGTATTACCATCTATATTCACCATAGGATAATATACATATTTAACTGTGGGTATATCTAAAGTAGTTGACCTGCTATTTTCAGCCAGTGTTTGTACATTGGTTAACGCATCTACAACTTTAACAGTAGATTTGCCATTCAGCACATCATTTATATATTTAAAACTGGTCTGTAGCGAACTCTTGAATATAGTCATGTCTTCGTGTAATGTCTGTAACTTTTTACTTTCTTCATCACGAATTTTATTCATTTCACATTTTATATCAATGCCATGTTTTTTGATTTTGTCACAAACTCTTTGAACCTGTTGATCAATATTATCACAGGCCTTTTTAGCTTGGTTCTTGATATCTGATATTTGATTGGTTAATAGTTCACAGTGTTTCTCGAGTTCATCAATCTTCCCTTCTAACTCTCCCTTTATAATATTTAATTTTCCTCTGACTTCTTGGTCTATTTCAGTAAGGTCAGTTTTTGAGTGAGTTGTATGATCTAATATAACACAGCTACCACAAACAGCAACAGAACAATCACGACAATAAAATTCTATTTCTTTTGTCTTGTGTCTCCGACAGAAATGATTTTGTGTTTTATCTTTTGGTTGGATGTAAAAGTTGGTTGAAAAGCCACTTGCACCACCATCAGGTACTTGAATCTGTGTTCTACAATTAGGACAATTAAACTTGTTGAGATGTGAATGTGCTTTGATATAGTCGTCTATACAGTGTTGACAAAACGTGTGAAAACATGGCAGTATTTTAGGTTTAGTAAAATCCTCTAAACAGATGCTACAGCTATGTGTTTCATCAACCCCTTCCGCCATCTTTGCCATAAAACACTGTTAGACACAGTCCAAGTAAAAACCACACTAATTATGTGCACACATTGTGTTTATTGAGTTCACAGACAATATCCAGTTTCTACAGAGTATAGGTTAAAATTACATCAATATTCACACATTCTATTTATTTATATTGTTTTACATAACATTTCACATTACAGAAGTAAAACAGCCATTTGTACAAGTACATGTTGTAACGCACGACTAAACATAAATATGCTTTTATATATACCTTTCTTATATGCTTTTATCTTTCTATAACTGTTTGTTTAAAGTTCGGGGTCTTGAAGGGCGGATCCTGTACAAGTGGTGTGCACTAGAATATAACGTTAGTATATGGAGTCCTTGTGTAACATTTCACGATTGAGCACATAAAACAACAGAATTTATATTGAAAACAATCACTGTTTCATATACACATAGCACAACGTTTCGACATGAGTTCTCTTATCGTTTTCAAGCAGATTTGTCACTGCCAAATTGATATGGAAACATTTAATTGTATTATTTTTTTTCAATCTTATGTAAATATAGATATTATAAATTTGTACAGAATCGACAAATAAATTGCAGATTGATTTGTATATTTCCTTATAATGAAAACATGCAAATAAAGTAACAAAAGTTGTACACTATGAATTAGCAGAAATATGTTAATCGGTGTGTATTAATAATAGAGATCGCTGTCGGATGGATCAGTTTTTGTATGTAAAGGTTCAGTGAATGATTAAAATAGCCTGATAGTGACCTCGTACGTGGCCATTTCTTACAAAGGAAAATGATTACCGATTAAAATATTGTGTGATCGCTATTGACATCGGTACAGAGCTAATGTATGGGAAGTAAATAAGAAATAAACACGAATAACGCTCGTTCTTTAACACCAGTTGGAGCGACCGATTGGGGCAAGATCAGTAAAATATGCACCTGGATTGGGATTTAATTGAACGATGGGGTGCGAGAACAATAACGCGCCTGAAATATGAAGACCCCCCCCCCACCCTAAAAAGGAGAAATAGTTAAGCAAATTGAGTCTGTCCTGTCTATCTCCATACACTTCTATTTCATGTAAAGAACAGAACTGAATGTAGTCAATTAGGCAGTTTATCTTCAATTTGACTAGCATATCAGCCAAAGAAATGCATTGTCCGAATTTCAACAATTTCATACTCAAGGTTACTTGGCTGTCTTTTTCCCCAGATCCGCTTTTTCCCGTCGGACTCCCCAAAAATTTTCACAGCCCACGGACCCGTGGCTGAGAAATCACAAACGTAGAGTGGGTCTCACAAGGGATTGGTCTATTGCCCAAATCCCGGTTTACAATATTACTGAATAAAAAAATGTTTATAAAGATATTCCAATTGTAATGCACAATACCCTTTCAATATTTTTACAGGTTCAATAGAAATTCATTGTCCTAATATTTGCACAATATATATACAAAGTTCTATAGAAAATCATTGACTTAATATTTGTTTATGGCATGAGAAAGTTTCCTGTATTGAAGGTAATACTAATCACGTGACATGAGGTATACAACAAACACGCTTTAGAAAGACTTTATTGAATTAAAAATTGAATTAAAAGGAAAATAATTCTTTTCGAATAGAATTTATTTTATATTCTGTGAACGGAAAAAAAGACATTAGCAAAATAATGAGATTCAAGGGCGGATCCAGAAACCATGGATGAGGGTTGGGGGGGGGGTAACCTGGTATCATGATATATATGTTTATCAAGGATCAGTTCAGGTTGTTGTATATTACACCAGAATTCGCTTATACTGCTACAGATGTTCTCAATGATCATCAGAATAAAATAGGAAAGACCCCAAAATTCAATTGGTTGATTGTCATATGATTAAGAATCAAATATCTATGTTTGATAATATTCAATCTTGGATTCAGTCAGGTTAAAAAGAGGCCCATCAAAATATTTTATCGAGCAATTATAGGTGGCGCTGGCTTGTTTATTTTGTCTGACTAAAATTTCACACACGAGCTTTGCACAAACGACCTTTGATGCACAACTTATTCTGTTAGTAAATGCAGGAGGACCACACTACACACTAAACAAAATCGACAAAACAAACCTGCGGACATGATAAACTACAGACATTACAAAAAATAAACAACAAATATCAAATCAAGTGAATGGATCCAGGGACCAGTTGTAAGCTAAACAGTAAAATCCAAATTGTGGCAAAAAGTCAAATCCAAATATCAGATCTGAACTGGACAAACAAATCACCAACCGTCATTTTGTATATAGGTGCCCACCATTTATAATATTTATGATTATTGACATTATATTTACCTGTAAACAATTGTTGCCATGGACAACAATTAAATATGTATTCAAGAGAACTAATAATGTCATTTAGCTATTATTTTATTGTTTGATTAAAATGAAATGCAATAGTTTAAAGTAAATTTTGGAGCGAGCATTTCACTTAATCGGATCTTTGTAAATACTGAACGGAATTAATTATTTTTTACTAATATTGAACGTGAAGTTTGCAAGAAATGCCGGTATCCCTCGAATCACGCTCAGAGATTTTAATATTATATAACTACAATGATATCCCGGATTCGATCCCGACGTTGGCCGCGAAGGACCCTCGGGATTTTCCAGTGTGGTTCACCTTTGCCAGTGACGAGGGACAAAAACGATGCCTAATCGTTCGGATGGGACGAAAAACCGAGGTTTCGTGTACCCTTTGTTGTGAACGTAAAAGAACCCTTGACAGTTGGTATACAATTGCAGTCCGGGCGAAACTCCCCCATAGCCCGGTAGGTACAGTAAGTAGGACGTTAAACCCGATTTCATTTCAGTTAAAGATAGATTAGGTAAGATAAGTTCTCGCTATAATAGTTAAAAATACATAATGAAAAATTGAATTTCATTAAAAATATTGTTTCATTCTGAGCGGATTTTTCGTCGTTTGCAGACAGTGTAGTCTCGATTGTCATTGATACCGTTGTTACGATAATAATCAGTGTCTCGGTTATACATTTGTATTTAATCATTCAAATCTGTTCAAAATCAAAATCAAAACTAAATGTCTAGTTAATGATTTATATAATATTTAAAAACAAATGCAAGATCTGCATTAGGCAGATTTATCTCTTTAATCATTATAATGTCATGTCAACATTGTTATTCAGGTGGGTTGTGTGGTCGAATCTTCAAGTTGGTCTTGGTGTTTTATAAAGTTTATTGTTATATTATTCGAGAAACCGCTATTCAATATCACATGTTTAATTGTTTGTATTGTAGTAGGGTGAATTTGGACTCAATAGTAAATGTTTAATACGTCGTGCTAATCCACGCAGTATTACTCAATTCAGTAAACTATATTTTAATGGATCTTAATCCACCTTAATTAGCCCCCATTTATATCTATTTCATATTGTCTTATATATTTGCGTAATCACCTGTCTCCAGTATTCTTTGTTTTACACCTTAAATTGAGCTTATAAATTATAATTAACGTCTATGGGCTATAGCATTTCAAGTACCATGGTATATTGTTGTTTAGATGATAGATCTATAGGCGATGCATGGAGATCCTTACACCAACGACGTCTTGCCTGAATGTGATGATCTCTCAAACAAGGGATCACGCGAGCACGTCGGGCGCGAAGGTGACCCCTATGCAGTCGATTCCGAATCGTCTGGCCACTCACTCTCACACCAGAGTCTGTTTGAAGACGAGCGCTGATCTGATTTGCTGTGATGACACGATTTCTCAAGGCCAAGGTACGGATAAATCGATCCTGGGCTTGAGTTGTCGACCTGAGCGTGGTCTGTCCTGTACAGATTGTGTATCACGGTATCTGGACCATAGCCTGCTTATGACAGACTGAGAAACATCCATCGTCCGCGCCACAACCGCCTGTGTTGTGCCGATCTGTAGCATGCCAAGGGCACGTAACCTTTCATTTTGGGTAAGCCGACGCATATCAAAATTTGTTTTCTGGTCACTAAAACAATTAAACTGATGTTTCCACCCTGGAATTCAATGCCACAATGACTGTAACATTCAAAGTCAGAGTCGTGCAAATCTTGGGTTGGACCCCCATGATGATCCCAAGCATCACATGCATTCCATGCGGTAGCTATTGGTGCGTTTGGGCGTCACATGTAACTGGAAATGTTTCTTCTGTTAGGTTCTATAGTGACTTTTTTCGTAGTCATTTGCATATTTTAGTATTATGCCCCCAAAATCAAATATCCCCTACTTTTTTTGAATAGTATTAAAATCTTTGAGCGTGATTCGAGGGATAACGGCATTTCTTGCAAACTTCACGTTCAATATTAGTAAAAAATAATTAATTCCGTTCAGTATTTACAAAGATCCCATTAAGTGAAATGCTCGCTCCAAAATTTACTTTAAACTATTGCATTTCATTTTAATCAAACAATAAAAAAATAGCTAAATGACATTATTAGTTCTCTTGAATACATATTTAATTGTTGTCCATGGCAACAATTGTTTACAGGTAAATATAATGTCAATAATCATAAATATTATAAATGGTGGGCACCTATATACAAAATGACATTATTAGTTCTCTTGAATACATATTATATATTACACTTCAATTTTGATAACAGTAATCAGTAAAGACCTTATAAAATTACTTACTAACCCTAACTATTGCGTGTGATGAATATTATTCACAGGGTACAATAGGAACAAAAAAGTGGTTGATACATGATATGTATTGTAATATTCACCAATACATCAATGTACAGTTATAACAAATAATAACTTAACAAATTAAAAATACAAATCAATACAATAATAGTACTCCCCTCCTCTCTACAATCCAACTCTACAAACTTTCTAAGTCTTTTCTCTACAACCCATTTCAACAAACTACCCACGCCTCTTCTCTACAATTCAGTTCAACAATCTTCTTTGAAAGGCAATAACCAATATATTTGCATATATGTTCTAGAATTGTGAACATTTGAATTAATTTCTTGGGTATTTCAGGTCATTGCTGGAGAGGATCAGAAATGGGACAGAATCTAGAGATCTGCCTGTCAATTATTATCGACTAATGATGATTATAAAGAATTTCCTTGGCCTCGATTTATTGTAGACTAATGATGACCATATACAGGTAAATTTTTCGTTAAACACCTTGATAACAACTAATGGCAAACATAAAGTCTTTAAACTGTTAGAATTTATAAATTACTACAAATAAATTTTAAAAAGGCTGATAAATGACGACGACACATTATATAGTCTGTTATAGGCTTATTACCACTTTACCTTCTTGTTAATGGATCAATTCATATCAGGGTTTTTACCATTTTTTTTAAATGTTTCTCGTCAAAACAAGTTTTCTCCCATAAAAAAGCTAACTCAGTTGTAGTATTATCTATATATATATTTGAGATTGTCGTTTGTCTGTCTGTCTGTCTTTTCGGGGTTGGCGGCTACACTAGGTCTGCCCCGAGTCTGAAATTTGGGGTATATGGGTAACTCGGATCGGGGAGTAACATAGGTCAGGTGGCGTTAGTCTACCACTTCCGGTTTCGGAGTTATGACCCCCGAGCGACGCCGGTCTGTTTGGGGTTGGCGGCTACACTAGGACTGCCCCGAGACTGAAATTTGGGGTATAGGGGTAACTCGGACCGGGGAGTAACATAGGCCAGGTGGCGTTAGTCTACCACTTCCGGTTTCGGAGTTATGACCCCCGAGCGAAATCTGTCTGTTCGGGGTTGGCGGCTACATCTGCCCCGAGTCTGAAATTTGGGGTATAGAGGTAGCTCGGACCGGGGAGTAACATAGGCCAGGTGGCGTAAGTCTACCACTTCCGGTTTCGGAGTTATGACCCCCGAGCGAAGCCGGTCTGTTCGGGGTTGGCGGCTACACTAGGTCTGTCCCGAGTCTGAAATTTGGGGTAATGGGGTAGCTCGGACCGAGGAGTAACATAGGCCAGGTGGCGTTAGTCTACCACTTCCGGTTTCGGAGTTATGACCCCCGAGCGAAGCCGGGTATCCTGCTAGTAGTGTCCATAAAAGACGATTTAAATAAAGGTAGATATAAAAGGATATAGTCGTGCATTATAACCTGTACAATAGTTTAGTCGATCGTAATAACCTGTACACGTCACAATACTGAAATGTAGCCGTAGCAAAAGTGTTTATGTTTATTAATGTGGTATAAACTGCATATGTCACAATACAGAAATCTAGGACAATTGGCTGATATACTTTCGTGGTGATGGCTCATTCATATCAAATATCATGTTCTATTCGGTGTAGTATTCTATTGTGCCATTAAAATGCTATTGTTATAAAGATACATATAAAAGCATATTTTGTTCAGTCGTGCGTTATAACCTGTATATATCACAATATTGAAATCGAGGATAAGTATTACTTCTGTAATCTCAACTGTTCTATATTTTAATAATATGTGGATATTGCTATAATTTAACATGAACTCTGTTCAAACTGGATATTCTCTGATAACTCAATTATTAAATATAATTGCTGTAGTTTTTACAAGGACTGTGTCTAACTGTTTTGAGAAGTAACTGTAAAAATGGCGGAGGTAAGCGATGATACACATAGCTGTAGCATCTGTTTAGAGGATTTTACTAAACCTAAAATACTGCCATGTTTTCACACGTTTTGTGAACATTGTATAGACGACCATATCAAGACACATTCACATCTCAACAAGTTTAATTGTCCTAATTGTAGAACAGAGATTCAAGAACCTGATGGTGGTGCAAGTGGGTTTTCAACAAACTTTTACATCCAACCGAAAAGTAAAACGGAAAAACATTTCTGTCGGAGACACAAGACAAAAGAAATAGAATTTTATTGTCGTGATTGTTCTGTTGCTGTTTGTAGTAGCTGTGTTATATTGGATCATACAACTCACTCAAAAACTGACCTTACTGAAGTAGACCAAGAAATCAGAGGAAAATTAAATATTATAAAGGGGGAGTTAGAAGGGAAGATTGATGAACTCGATAAACGCTGTGAATCTTTAACCAATCAAATATCTGATATCAAAAATCAAGCTAAAACAGCCTGTGAGAATGTTGAACAACAGGTTCAAAGAGTGTGTGAAGAAGTAAAAAAATATGGCAGTGATATAAAATGTGAAATGAATAAAATTCGTGATAAAGAAAGTAACCAGTTACAGACATTACATGAAGATATGACCATGTTGAAAAGTTCGCTACAGGCCAGTGTTAAATATATAAATGATGTGCTGAATGGTAAATCTACTGTTCCAGTTGTAGATGCTTTAACCAATGTACAAACACTGGGTGAAGACAGCAGAACATTCAGTTTAGATATACCCCCAGTAAGATATGTCTATTATCCTATGGTAGATATAGATGTTAAAACTTTACAACTACTACTAGGTCAATTAGAAATAATGGAGTCACCAACCTGGACCTTTAGTTTTAGTTTGAACCGTATAGTGAAAACAGATGAGAACTATTTAAGTGATGATATAATGATACAAGGAATGTCATGGTGTGTAGGTGTTAAACATCAAACAGATACATCAGGATTAGTGTGTTACCTGGGTCTGATGGGATTAGAAGATAAAACAGTTAAAACCGTTACAGCTAGTTTTACACTAAAACTATTAAATATAAACGATGTGAGTAAATCTATAGTTAAACGACATACAGCTACATTTATACCTGGTGGTAATGGATGGGGTAATTGCTTGATAAGGTGGAACAAACTACAGGATGTAAATAACGGGTATATAAACAAGAATAGGACATTTAATATACAGGTCATTGTACAAATAAACAACATAGAACGATCCTGACATTACAGTATATTACGGTCCGTGTAAGCATAATACAAGAACATAATGTTCAATATGAAACCAATGCGAATGGATTATGGTTGCTTACGTGTGAAATGAAAAAGATTTTAATGTTGCGTTTGTATTAAAACTATCACAGGGTATATTATGTGTCAATGGTTTTGTGTGTATGACGGGGGATTTGAGTCAAAAGTCAGTGCACTATTGTTAGTGCTTTTACATCTCTAATGCTGCAAATGCTGAATGTCATGTGTAAATTACACTAAGTCAAATGTAAACAATCTTGTAATACTGACAAATACAAAGGTTTTATGTTCTGTGTAACACTATTAGCACTATTACATTTTGTGATGTAAACAATTCAATAAAACTTAATTTATTTAATATTTTTTTGCTTTCACACTTTTGTAATCTACCTTTTGTCATTCAACATTTCATATTAGATTTTATAAAATTTCAATTACATGCCTAACGTAAGTGACCCAGAATTATAAACTTTGAACTCTGACATCTTCTTATTTGTCACTCGCACAATGTATTTTCTCCTTCAACATTTGTCGTTTGCATCGTAACACAGAACATGACACCATTTTTTCCCGAAATCAACCTGGCATATAATAAGTCAGCGTACAATAAGTCGGCTTACCATACAATCAGGCAAACCGACCAATAGTGAATATTACAATCACTGAGAGGAATGACGACGGTGAAAGTTAATTAGTTAGCTTTTTTCCTTCTGCAAATTAAATTATAGAAATTTTTTTTTGAAGCATTGGAAAACCAAATAAAGGTGTTTGAAGTATATTTGGATATAAAATATTTCTTATTTAGTGTAAATGGGTATATACAATGAGTAAAAGGCACCATTCTGCAATGACCAGTTTACGTTACTACTCTTATAGAACTATTACACTTGCCATCGAGCCCATGATAGATGCCGTGTAATGTGACGTCACATGTAGAAGGCATTTGAAAATATAATGGGGAATCAAGCTAGCAAACATTAAGAAATTCGCTGGATGACCGTGACTTCAGTGAAATCACGTGCTTGGTATGGATACTCCGCCCCTTCGATAAATAAAATAAATTGAAAGTAGTCCATTTTTAGTAATTAAGTTATTGTCTGGTAGCGACAGCGGGGACGAATTGTTAACGCGTGTGCGTTTGATCACAAGGTATATCAATGAGTCAAGTGGTGTGGTTTCGATTTCCCGCTTGTACGTGAAAAGGATTGAGGTCGCCTGTAAATTCCTGGATTATAGCTCCTGATTGTACGAAAAATGGCGTTTTAACTTGTGAACCCTCTAGAGGTCACATTTTTTATCCGATTTAAAAAAGCCGTTTTAATATATCACCTTTACACCCTAATGACGGTTAAATTCGAATGTCGTGAAAATCGGAACGAACTGCTAGACAAAATGGCCGCTCCTTATACGCAAATAGTATAAAAGTATCTAATACCAAGGTTATGGACCGTCTAGAGGTTACAACTTTTATCACATTTTTACGAGACCTAAAATATGTTTATTATCAAAGATAATGGTCCTTTTCGATTTTCGCGCATAGCGGACGTAACTTTCTGAATTATGACCCCTGATTGTACGAAAAATAGCGTTTTAGCTTTTGGTCCCTCTAGAGGTCACAATTTGTATCCGTTTTTAAAAATATTTAAATATAACCCTGTTATAAATATAATCTTTATTCAAAAAAACCCAAAACACTTCTGTGAAGTTGCATGAATGGTATTAACAATATTAAGTTACAATAAATAATACTAAGATATATTTACATTATATATTCACAATGAAAGAAACAATTTGATCATGTACAGGATAATAACCTGGTTATTTAAAATGTCGAAAAATAAGTTTGACAAATTGACATTTATTTACGATTTCCTTATTATTATTTAAATAAGTTGGACATGGTCTATTTAAATATTTTGTAGCAATGTAGTTAATTCTTTCTGTTTGAAAGAATTGACATTCAAAAAGTTAATGATATTCGTCTCCGAAGTTGTTGGAGTTACCAGATGACAAATCCTACCGGAATTATAAAATTAGCAGGTTGGAATAAATAGTTTTTGAATCCAAAAATAGTCTTACAGATACGATAGTTTGCACATTTAGAGCTTTCACTAATTTAGCTATGCCATAGTTGCTGGTATTGATCTCTAAGTCTAGTTTTGAGATTCGATTTCAGCGACTCGATATTAGAATATCACTTGGGTTAATCCATAAGACCTGCCGTCTAACACGCGCTTAATATAACTAACTTAATATAACTATTCATTGACATCATTAGTGCTGAGAATTAATTTATACAACCTACAATCTATTTCGATTTTCAATGGATATAATCAATAATCGCCAAAAACCATGACGTATGGGGCCGACAGTTTAACATTCATGAGAATCTTACCAAAACTTAAGTTGTAGAATTTTTAGGGGATCTGTGTCTGAGTATCCCCCAAACCACAGAACACAAAAGCATGATAGGTATAACTAGGTGATTAATTAAGTATAATACGGTATCTATGGTTAGATTAAGAACTTTGACTTTCCGAATAATATTAAAGATGGCTTTACTTGCTTTACAGTACAGTAATTTCTTTGCTTTGTAAAATTTTCCATTTCCATTATAGTTAAGTACAATTATTATTTATTATTATTATGAACATTTTTATAGCGCACAATTCAGTGGGTGCTCAAATGCGCTTTACAAAACATTATAAATTATCACACATTATAAATTATCACAAAACAGTATCACAGATACACAATATAATCATATATTATTTAGTAAACAACATATTAGGTATAAAACAAAATAACACTAATTCAAGTAAAGAGGTGCAAGACCATTAAGACATTTAAAAACTAAAGCAAGGATTTTATATTGAATTCTAAAATAAATGGGTAGCCAGTGTAACTCAATTAAAATAGGGGTTATGTGCTCTCTAAACTTTGATCTGGTGATAAGCCTTGCTGCACTATTTTGTACCATTTGTAGTTTATTAATTAAAACATCTGGGATTCCTGCTAAAAAGGAGTTGCAATTATCTAATCTTGATTTTACTAGGGAGTTTACGACAGTTTTAATGGCATCAATAGTGAGGGTTGACCTTATTTTACTAATGTTTCTTAGATGGTAATAACAGATTTTACAGATATTGTTAATTTGGGCATTCATAGACATATAATCGTCAAAAAGTACACTAATATTTCGGGCAGATTCAACCGGACAGATAGTATGGGAACCGATTTGTATACTTGTATCACCCCCCGCTTGTGCTTTACTTAAAGAAGATTTTGTTCCTAATAGGAGATATTCAGTTTTATCATCGTTGAGTTTCAGGTATTCGTATTCGAATACAATCTCTATGGTTAATATCATACTTTATAATAGGTTTTTTCCTTATCTTACCCTTGGCGAATACCATAACCTTAGTTTTAGAAGTGTTGATATTTACGTTCCAATAAATACAATAATCACACATAGCATCCATCGGCATAGAGTAGGATAAACAGTTTGAGATATATATATATATCTAGATCCTTTTCTTTACATTTGTGTATTTAGCTCTTCGTACTTATACTGATTTATGTTGCAGTTTGTTCTAGGTCCCCCCTCTCATATTGTTATATCTATGCACCTATAACTGGATAAGTAAGATTCTAAATCTGCTAGGGAGATTGAAAACAATAAAGGGGGTAGATTTTCACCTTGCCAGACACATATCATACAACTGAAGTTCGGAGAAGTTGAATCATTGCATGTGATACACGATTTAGCACGTTTAAACATACTATAGTTAGCATTGAAAAGTTTACCTTTAATTTCAATATTTTACACTTTTCCCCATACATTAATTTTTTATTATAAATTTTAAACTGAGTAAATGGTCCGTTGTTGAAAAGTCTTTTCGTAAGCTTGCCTGTTCAGGGCCCACAAGACCACCCCCAAGAGTTCGTTTATCACTGCTGTAAACGACTTGCCCATACAACCGAGAATAGTAATTCTTCTATAGTTTTCAGCGTTATTTGTGCTACATTTACTTTCGAATATCGGGGATATCCTGCCCATTACCCAAGAGGTGGGTATAAACCCAGTATTCAGAATAACATTTTAAAGGTTCACATAAATTCCTACCATTAACTCTTTTGTGGATTTTATATATTCATTGAGTACATTGTCAACACCACAAGCCTTATTTATTTTGAGGTTATCACAGCAGTTCCTAGTAGAATAAATGTAAAACAAACCCATCGATTTAGATCACTCCGTCCTTTAAAATTGTACCTTTCTTCATGTCCGTCCTCATTATATAACAGCAGCTTTTTTGCAATCCCATATTTCCTCGCAATTCTCCCCTATTATGATTTGCCATCCAGTAATTTTTTGCATCACTATTAAATATTTACAATAGTAATTATTCAAATAATCAATGAAACTTAATTGATTTTAATCAAATGGAAAAAAAAATCATTATTTTGTAGAATTTCTATTTGATTTAATTTATAATCACCTTTATAGTTGTGTATATTACTATTTATACACACACACAGTGTACACTATGCTTTCTATGTATAGAATTCCTCTCCATACAATATACAGGTACACTATAGAATTTGTCTCCATAAAACATACAGGTACACTATTTTTAACATGTATAGAATTATTTCCATACAATGTACAGATACGCTATAGAATTTGTCTCCATATAATATACAGTTACACTATAATTTATTTGCATAGAATTCCTCTCCATACTAAGCGACCCCTCCAATGAGAGTCAACAGCCTTCTGTTTAACAATCACTGATTTAGACAGTTATCAACTTGCCTTCTGTTTGACAATCACTGATTTAGACAGTTATCAACTTGCCTTCTGTTTGACAATCACTGATTTAGACGGTATATCTACCAACTTCAACGGTATAACAGTACTCCTGTCTCTACTGAATGTAAATGTTTTTAAATACAGAGACTTTTATAAACTATATATATTGTCTGAACTTTCTATCACCATGGAAACAAACTGTTAGATTGTGTAGATGAATCGATTGACTGTGATTCATTAGGTCTGTTATCCCTGAAATAAACAATACAATAATTACACACTTCTATCTCTATGACAACTGAAGCCATGGTGTGACACTACAGGGTTACGTCGTGACTATCCTTCGTCACGGCACCAAAAAAAAAACCATTGAAAAACATTGATCTGATATTACTGGGACAGATGTGACTATCTAATCAGGAAATTCCAGAAAACGACCCGTGACACTAGGGTGAAACTTATCTAATCAGGACTTTCACGCTGTGTATATGATCAATTAACTCTGTGTCTTATATCTATGTTTATATATCAAATACAGGAAACTACAACATCTATGATAGTACATTCGGAGTTATTATAATATCTACAGTCTGAGTTTAAAAAGCCTAGAACTCAGACCTAACGGCTGGAACACTACCATGTCTCTATCCCAACCTCGAACCAGAGGCCGAGAGTACGTTCTTCTAAGAATACTAAATAGTGTCTGTTCCCATGCCTCTCGGCAGAGGAGGCTGTGGGTATGATGTTCCCCTAGGAACTCCGAGGGATGTCTCTCCTAGGATCTCTAAATGATGTTTACAGCCTAGCCTCTAAGCCGAGAAAGCTGAAGGGAAATTAAACCCCGCAGTTTCTTGTATAGAATGTATAGATGCGTAAGCTATTAAGGCGAGACAATAACCATTTTTGGGTAAGTGTTTCGTATGGGCACCGTTTTACGTCAACATTATTCTATTTTCTAGTCAATTGGACTAATCTGGGCACAAGATGACTGACCGATAGTACCCTACTTTAAGCAACTGATGGTTGCATAAATTGTCAGTGAGTTAAGCTAAGAAAGTTGAATATTGCAAAATACCTACTTTCTTACCCATTTCACTAACCACTGCAGTGTATTAGACAGAGCACCTTTCATAGAACTAAAATAACCACTACAGTATTACAATGGTAGTCAGGGCTAGAATGCCCCGGACTGAACCGAGCATGGATCTAGTAACATCTTGACTTCTCAGGTGTGGCATTCGAAGCAGACAGAAAACCAAGCTCCACCGCACACTAACACCTTCAGTTCTCAAGGGTGGCATTCGAAGGTGACCGAAAACTTAGGTCCACCGAACACTACCACCTTCACTTCTAAGGTGTGGCATTCGGGGGGTGGGCAGAAACCTAGGTCCACCTAACATTAACATCTTCACTTTTCAAGGGTTTCATTCGAAGAGGACAGAAACCTAGTTCCACCTAACATTTAAAACTTCACTTCTTAAGGGTGGCATTCGGAGGGGAAGAAACCTAGACCCACCTAACATTAACACCTTCATTTCTCAAGGGTTTCATTCGGAGGGAACAGAAATCTAGGTCCACCTAACACCTGCACTTCTCAAGGGTGACATTCGAAGAGGACAGAAACCTAGTTCCACCTAACAATAACACCTTAACTTCGCAAGGGTGGCATTCACGGGGGGAGGGGGGCAGAAACCTAGGTCCACCTAACATTAACACCTTCACTATGGCATTCGAAACGGACAGAAACCTAGATCAACTGAACAGTTGAAAAACAAAAAAAGGAGCCGATTGTAGCGCCATGGTAGTGTGGTCAGACCGGTATGGGCTGATGGAAACATTCACCTGTCAGGAATGCGACATGTCAGACTGAACAGGAAAATATATTTTGTAATTTCGATGGGACAAAACAAAACATGGTCCAGAAATCTAAGCAAAAGCATGGCATATGCCCGTCTTTATTAGCCCAGTCTGTCCAACAACGGTAGGAAGTTAACCCCCATTTCATTTCACAACAGTAGGGCGTTAAACCCCATTTCATTTCATAAATACCTAACATTTTGTATATCTGTTTGAAAACATGACGAATTTAAGAAAGTAGAAGTTGTACCGATATCTGACACTACAACTTGGGAATTGTGTTGTTGTATTGTTAGCATGAGTTTCGTGCGGCATTTAGCAATTCATTAGGATCGTCAAAAAAATTGATGTATTGCAACTCGAAATTTGGCATATCAATATTTTTATTTTACTAACAACAGGACTACACTATACCCAAGTTGTAGTGTGATGTGCCTTTAATTACCTGAATAGCGTTAAAAAGATATGCAGTCTCTTTACTATAATTAACAGGTTTATCAGTCAATACTTCCTTACCAGACCAGTTGTTATTTTACCCAATACTTATACGTGTAACCGGCTTGTTTATTTTGCCTTGTAAATATTTAACACAACACAACTGGATCATTTTGGGGTTGATATTCCCTTTAGAGATCTAACTTTAACATTTTTGTAGTTTGCTATAGACGTTATAGGTAACGTTTAGGTCGGGAGAATTTAACACATGTGTTACATAGTATGAGCGACAGAGATAGGTAAAAGATTAGAATCATCATATGACAGCTTGTGTGATACAATCTCCGATGTCTTTTAATTGACCATACTATTGTTTAATTTATCAATGGCCCAGCGGGTGGCATATCTATAGTGGTCAAGTTAGATAATACGTTGACCAACCTGCTATGTGATTATCGTAAGATAATCTTAAGTTCTTTTGTTCAGTATCATTAATGAATTACCATATTTGAGTATAAATTTTGTTAGGTTTTGGATATTGCACAGACGAGCTTTGATAGCTCACAGAGAAGGGTTTCTTATATATTTAGTATTTTGATACTATTGTGTATGTTAGAATAAAATGTTGAATCCAGACCATCTTATATTTCTGTTAACAGAAACTATGTTATACATGCTGTAGACGTTATAATGAACCTTTAAGACGGAGAATTTAAAACATTTTACATACGTCATCCGGAAAGTTTAAAGGGGGGTGGGGAATTTAATACAATATGGGTACATTGCCCCGAGGACATAAAGCGAACCACAAAGGTTTTAGAGAACGGCCTGGGAGCATTTATGAAAACCTTTAAATTCCGTTGCACAAATCTATTTTAAAACAACCAAAAATAAACTTTTCAGAAATATTTTCTAAAAGCTTTTTAACATCTATATCCACAATAGAATAATGGACATACCTTACCGTGGGAATATCTAAACTGGTTGATCTGAGGTCTTCAGTTAGTTTTTGGACAATGGTTAAAGCATCCACAACTGGAACAGTAGATTTACCATTCAGCACGCCATTTATATATTTAACACAGATCCGTAGCGAACTTTTGAATTGGATCATATCTTCATGCAATGTCTGTAACTTGTTACTTTCTTCATCAGAAATTTTGTTCGCTGCCATGCTTTTTGACTTCTTCACAAACTATCACGGCTTTTTTAGCTTGCTTTTTGATGTCTGATATTTGTTTGGTTAAAGATTTACAGTGGGTCTCGAGTTCATCAACCTACCATTCTAACCCCGCTTTAATAATGTTTAATTTTCCTCTGAATTCTTAATGTACTTCAGTTAGGTCGTTATTGGACGGAGTTCTATGAGCCAATATAGAATAGCTACCACAAATAGCAACAACATAATCATGCAAATACTAATCTCTATTGTCATGTGTCCTGTGCAGAAATGATTTTGTATTTCGCCCTCTGGTTGGATGTAAACGTATGTTGAAAATCCATTTGCTCCATCATTGGGTACCTGAATAGCTGTTCTACAATAAGGACAATTGAACTTGTTGAGAGGTGGTAGAGTTTTGATATAATCGGCGATACAAAGTTGACAAAACGTGTGAGAACATGGCAGTTTTTTAGGATCAGTAAAATCCTCTAAACAGATGCTACAGCTATGTGTTTCGTTACCTCCTTCCGCCATTTTTATAGAAATTTATAGCACAGTCCATGCATAAATTACAGCCACGTTTCAGTTAAACTTGCTGAGATCTGAATCTTTTTTAATATATTCGCCTTTACAATGTTTATAAAACGTGTTAGAAAACGGTAGTATTTTAGATTTAGTAAAATCCTCTACGCAGATGCTACAGCTATGTGTTTCATTGCCTCCTTCCGCCATTTTCATACAAATTTATAACAGTCCGTGCAAAAATTACAACCACGTTTCAACAGAGAATATTTATATGATTGTTTTATACATAGACACAGTCTGTGTAAAAACTACAGCAATTATATTCACACATTGTTAATTACCTCCTTCCGCCATCTTTACCGATATGTACAACACGATTAGACGCAGTCCATGTAAAAACTACAGCAATTATATTCCCACATTATTGAGTTATCATATAACAATGTCCAGTTTTACCCGAGTTTATGTTAAAATTACAGCAATATTCACAGTTTATATTTATATGACTGTTAACATTACAGCAATATTCACAGTTTATATTCATATGACTGTTCGATTACATAAGTAAAACATACACTGATAATTTTTCGTATTGTAATGTGTACAGGTTATAACACATGAATAAACATATACGCGTTATATATAACTGTCTTGGGGGCGTACCTATGCATGTGGTGTACAGTAGAATATAGACGACAATACATGTTTTACTTGAGTGGTATTTAGCGATAGAGCACAATAGAAAACAATCACTGATTTATATACACATAGCACAATGTTTCCGTATGGGTTCTCTGATCGTTTTCGAGCAGATTCGTCCTTCAAAATTAATATGGAAAAAAGTGTGAATGACCAAACAAGCGGAGTGATGCCAATATTTTTTTTTTCTTAAAATAAGTTTAGTCTTTTTCAGTCGTATTTAAAATAAAGAGTTATTGCAGATTTGTACAGAATTGACAAATAAATTGAAGAGAACAATATAATAATTATGCTGTAAACATTAAATTGTACATTATGAATTAGCAGAAATAAGTTAATTGGTGTTTATTAATAATAGCGATCGCTGTCGGATAAATATAATTTTTTTATTTAAGGCCCAGTAAATGTTTTTATAGGTTGAACAATGGTTGAAATAGTGTGCTAACCGATTCTTATAAGGGAAATTGATAACAGATTAAAATACTGTCTGATCGTGATTGGCACCGGTAAAGAGCAAATTTATAAGAAGTAAATAAGAAGCACACATGAATAACATCCCCTGAGGATGGATGTTCGGCAATTTCTGATATTTTATTTGTGCAAATAAAACACGCAGTTGGGGAGACCGATTGGAGGACCGGGAAGAACAATAAAATACGCACCCGGGTTGGGTTTTAGTTGAACGAAGGAGAACGACAGCGCGCCTCAAATTTGAAGACCCGCCTCCCCTCTCACCCTAATAATTTTGTTACTTGCATGTGAAATGAAATATATTTTAAGGTTTAGTTTATTTGGAAACTAACAGGAAACAGTTATGCGTCAACGGTCGTGTGTGCAATGTAGGCAAAATAAACAAGCTAGCATTTACTAACAGAATAGGTTATGTGTCTAAGGTCGTGTGTACAATGGCGGTATCACCCTGGACGAGTGGGAATCGGGCTTCCCTTGACTTACGCTGTTATTCTAACCACGAATCTGTTACAACCTATAACAACTCGGTTTGATCGGGATTCTATTCATCATAGTAACAAATGATATTTGCATAATTCCCAACAGGCTTTCAAAAGGCAGGAATGGAACGAATATATAAACATATGTAACAACTAGTCAAATTGATACTAGTCAAATTATTTAACAAAAACAACACACAAATAAAAGGCTGCAAATGGTATTTCCTGCTGTCAACATACTGGGGTTTGGTTTTGCTGAAGGCATCGCCATTCTAAGTTGAGGTGGTACCTGAGATTTTCTTAGGGCATTTATAGTATTGCTAATAGTCTGTCATCAGATCCAAAAAAATCGAGGTAATATATATAGTACCTGCACGTTGAACGGAAAATAAATAAATTCCCCGGGAGTACCTTTGATTTTTTTAGTGCATTTGTAGTATTGCCAAAAGTATGCCGTCGGATAAAAAAGCAAATTTTAGGTAATATAGGGCCCAGTTGAACTAAAAATAAATTCCCCGGGAATTTGTTGTATACTGAAAATAAATTTCTCGGGAAACCCGCTCTGTCATTTGTTGTATACGTGAGATTTGCACGTGGACATTCAATAGATTGATTGTTCAATTGAAGAACGAGTCGTAACATTAATAAATACATGGAGACGTTTTATTATGTAATCAACAATAGATATATTATTATCAAAATAAATCTACACGTCAGAAATAAAAATATTCCTTTCATAATATTTTATACTAAACACAGGTCATTGGCAACTTGCCAAGTATGAAATCGTGGTGGTCGCATGGTTAAAACTATAATGTATTATAAGTTCCACGGTTAAAACTACAACCTGTCGTGGCCATGGAAAACAATGGTGCTAAAGGCTACATGATGTCATGGCCACGGAGAGCCGTGGTAGTTGTGTGGTTAATACCACAACCTGTCGCGGAAATCCGTGGCTGTTAAAGCTGCAACTGTTATGGTCGCGGAGAACAGTGGTGGTTTAAGCTACAACTGACAGGGTCACGATACGGAGAACCGTGGTGGGCGTGTTGTTGTGGGTTGTTAAAGCTTTGGCATTCGGAAAGATTTAAAAACCCAGACCATATAACATAAAGATCCATAGCAATAAAAAAAAAATGAGGTTAAAGAAAGGTATCAATCAAAATGTAACAGGACCGCAGTTAATATTTTCAATTGAATAAAGGATTATAAAATTGTTTGTAAAAGAATTTTACCACATATTTCCATAAATATTACTCGAAATTCGTACTTCGCCTGGAAAAATTGTCAAGAATGGAAACGACGTGATGAGCAGAATAGTAGGGCGTTAAATTCCATTTTTATTTTAATTATAATGACTGTGACGCTGTATTTTGTATTATTTTAAATTGCTTGAATTATCGCGCAAGATTTGATTTCTAGCACCACATAAAATATATTTTCCAAGTGAAATGTGAAACCCCATTTTCGTGTAACAACAAATTATTGCTCTTTGGCAAGTCTTAAGCTATTGATAAAGAGAAAAAAAAGAAACGACAAATGATGTTATGCACAAATGCGCGGCAAAATTGAATGAGAAGTGGAATCAGGTATTCCTGAAAGATCATGTATACCCTGCATCGTGCACTTTAAACTGAATAGATGATTAAATTATTGAGGATTCTCTAGAAATATTACTCATTTTATTGTTTTGTAGGTCGTTTGAAAATACAAGGTTGACCCAGCTTTCCATAAATATGTTATTTTCTTTTTGTGTTCGTATGTGAAAGGCCTATACGTACGCAACCACGAGTTATGATTTTTAGGTGGCGGATCTTTTAGTTCAGAAGGTGGGACACTATTGAAATGTATAAAGTTTAGTCATGTGTTCGGTGTGGTTTCGTGTATTTGTGTACATTATTACTATACATGAACGTCGTCTTTATATAGCTGCATATATATATATATATATACTAGCAGGATACCCGGCTTCGCTCGGGGGTCATAACTCCGAAACCGGAAGTGGTAGACTAACGCCACCTGGCCTATGTTACACCCCGGTCCGAGCTACCCCTATACCCCAAATTTCAGACTCGGGGCAGATGTAGCCGCCAACCCCGAACGGACTTCGCTCGGGGGTCATAACTCCGAAATCGGAAGTGGTAGACTAACGCCACCTGGCCTATGTTACTCCCCGGTCGGAGATACCCCTATACCCCAAATTTCAGACTCGGGGCAGACCTAGTGTAGCCGCCAACCCCGAACAGACTTCGCTCGGGGGTCATAACTCCGAAACCGGAAGTGGTAAACTAACGCCACCTGGCCTATTTTACTCCCCGGTCCGAGCTATTCCTATACCCCAAATTTCAGAGTCGGGGCAGACCTTGTGTAGCGGCCAACCCCGAACAGACCGGCTTCGCTCGGGGGTCATAACTCCGAAACCGGAAGTGGTAGACTAACGCCACCTGGCCTATGTTACTCCCCGGTCCGAGCTACCCCTATACCCCAAATTTCAGACTCGGGGCAGATGTAGCCGCCAACCCCGAACAGACAGACAGACAGAAAGACAGACAGATAAACGACAGTCACAAATATATATATAGATATCAGTTTTCCTTCATATGTCTATTTCGATTGTCGTTAGTCATAAATGGGATAGGATCTGTTATCATTGTTGTGTAGTAGAGTAATTTTATTTATTGTATGAACATTTTAATATGGTCACAATTCTAATTTACTCTTAGATACTATGTTACACATCACTGCATCTTTAAACTGTTCTGTTCTATACACTCTTCTTAAAGGTATACAGTGAGTTAGAGTTCACTCAACCTGCTCACTGGTGTTTCATTTTCACCTTTGACCCGAAGGTTTCTTGGAGTTGTTTGTAAAATCACCTTCACCTCATTCCAGTCTCTGGCTACTTCCATTTAAAAACCCATTCTTAGGTAAGAACCTATTTCTATTAGTAAGATTAATTAGTTTATACCTTCATATTTCATGCTGGTTAACAGGAGGTAGTTGTTCCTTTAAACTATTGATATTATAAATTAAGTATATATAAGTATATATAGATAGTATTTTGAGGTGTTTTAATATTAACATGTAATATGTTATTTTAATGAAATGAACGCATTGATTGTATATGTTGATTAGATAACTTATATTGAAATTATATACTTTCAGGGGTTTTTTTTACTGAATATTAAATAAACTGTTGTGAAACTGAACCCTTGTGTGGTCGTTTTATAGATAATTTGACCCCCTACAACAGTTGAATCATATTAGTCATCCATTATTATATCGTAATCCTATTACTAACCTTTTGACCTATACCCATAAATATTTCCTAGATCCGTCTTCATTAGCCCAGTCTATACGCGACAGCATGACGCTAAACCCCATTTTATTTCACTTTACACCTTACATCCTTCTATAACGTATTATAATTGTATTACTTTTTTCATATTCTTTGTCATCAGCGAGTTGCCCCCCCCCCCCCCCACACACACACACATCAGAAAAAGAAACCTTTCGGGCAACCTGACTTTTCGGAAAGACGGGTAAAGTGAAAACAAAAATTATTATTTCATCTAGTTGACAAAATAAAGTGCCCGAAGCCTAATAAAACAATAACTTTCATTTTAAGTGATTAACACGAATTTGTAATGATCACGGGGCCATTTTATGTATAAATTTGTCTGATATTTTACCTTGGTAAGGGGGAATCGGTAAACACACTTCATAACACGCTTCTGGTTATTAAAACTTTTAAAATTCAGGATCCAAATCTATAAATAATGAATTTTATTTTATGATCAGTAGTGGAATACCGCGTTTTATCAGTGAAATAAAAGTGTTATTCCACTGGCTAAAGTAGTACATGTTGTTTTTACCTAAAATGATTGTAAAATCATAAAATAAATAGAACATTTGTCGTTTTGTCGTGAATAACATATTTTATTTCATCTCTAAGCAAGAAAACGTTTATATTTTCACTCATGCTACGCATTCGTAGCATAAAATATGAAATAAAATATGTTATTCACTCTAAAACGACAAATATCCTCTATATATCAACCATATATTTATCGCTGATGTTATACATACGTATACAATTTCACACACCGCCTTCTTTATAATATATATTATTATTGGTATGCTTATTCAACAAGGATGTTACTCAAATATCTATTTCATTTTTACACACATGACGGCGTTAAGGAGCATTATAAAAGGCCTGACTATTCATTTTATTCGTGGAAACCAGTGACGTGTTACATATAAATAGATGATGTTAATACCACCGTCTTAATTCTAGGATCCCACTATCACCATTCGTGCTTGCGGTCGACAAATCTTTCAAATTTCCTGGGGTGGGGGTGGGGGTACCACATGGTAAGCTCCGCTGGCAGACGAAGTTTGAGAAGCATCTCGGTATTTATCTTGCCGAGTCCCACTTGTCAGAGGTCGAGTATACCATAGTTTGAATTAACAGAAATAAAAGACGATCTGGTTTCAACATTTTATCAAAATACCAAATATACGACACACCATCCCCTGGCAAGCTTCCAGAGCTCATCCCATTTATATGTTGTTGTTCTTGGTCTTTATCGTCCGCTTCTACCGAAGGTGATATCGCAGACAAGTTGTTATTCTTTCATTTTTGTTTATCTTAGCACACGAGTCTTTCCTGTTGGGGGAACCCGGTGTACCCGAAGTAAACCCACGGGATTTAGAAGGCGCCCCTTGGGTGATATAGAAGACAAGATTTATATCACAGTCCTAAACCAAGTTATACAAAATTCAGTTCATAATATTTAGGTAATCAACTATAATTGTACATTCATTAATGACATTGAATAAAATAATTTATATAAAAACTACATAATGAAATCAGTTGTCAGTGATAGATTATCTTACTATAATCATATGGCAGGCTACAGAACAATTGATGCGTGACAACTAAACACTAGTAAACGTAATTAGTGATCATTGGATTATCTAACTTGACTACGATACATAAGGCAGCAGCTGGTGACGTCAAACATCATTCAGCTGTACCTCCTATTTTAACCTGTTTTTATTATGACAAAAAGAGAAAATGACCCGCCCTCTCTTCTCACGACAGCGATTTTATAAGTGTGTTTTAAATTTACTTTTTACTATTCAAGGACTTTTTATTTTGTGTTTTACCAATATTAAGGAGACTTTTGATGTATTGTATATATTTACCAATTTTTCAACCAATTAAGTGTAAATAATTTAATTAAATCAACCTGTCCATAATATATTTAATGTATTGGACGTTAAATCCTTAACACATACTTCACACTATGTAACACGAGTCGGCGGGACTGGTAAAAGTGGTATTTAAAGTGTTGCTTAGTTATGTACATTCAATATCAAATCCTTGTTGAAAATTCGAAAAAATCATTTAAAGTTACAATTTCATATTTTTAAGTTATATTTTTAAAATGTATTAAAATAAAGCCCTAAAATAGTTGGTATCTATATATAAACAGTCCTACCTTGTTAAAGAATAATCCTATGAATCCTATAATTCACTATTGCCAGTTGAGAAATTGGCAAAAATATCATTTTCAACTTCAAATTCAAACGTTTGAAGATAGCTATTCCATGGTGGGGAATAGGAAAACAAGGGAGGTAATTGTGTTATTATTTCCGGTGTGAAGATTTGTAAGTGTGAGAAAGATAACCTATGATCGTATAATAGTGCGTTGACAACCTATTGAGCAAAAGACATAGAAATAATTATGTTTTGACCTTCTTAGAAAATATGAAATTGTAACTTTAACATCACCAAAAATCATATACAATCACCAAAAATCATATAATTTGCACTTTTGTCCAGTTTAATGCTGATTAATGCTGATTAATGAATGGTTCATTCATATCAAATTTCGTGGTTTTTACCCCCTTTTTACTGTTTCTCGGAAAAACAACCCTGATGTAATATCCTTTTGTGCCCCTAAAAGGCAATGTAAAAGCGGGTATATATATAAAGCATATTTTAGTCGTCCGTTATAACCTCAAGCAGACAGGTATATAAAGATAGATATCTAAAAGCATTATTAGTCGTGTGTTATAACTTGTACACATCATAATACAGAAATCTAGTGTCTGTTTTACTTGTTACCTGAACTGTCGTATGTATAATACCATGAATATTATAGTGTAATTTCAACAAAAACTGTGAAATCGACGACAGGTGTGTATGTTTAGTCGTGTGTTATAACCTGTACACATCATAATACTGAAATCTAGTGTCTGTTTTACTTGTTACCTGAACTGTCGTATGTATAATACCATGAATATTATAGTGTAATTTCAACAAAAACTGTGAAATCGACGACAGGTGTGTATGTTTAGTCGTGTGTTATAACCTGTACACATCATAATACTGAAATCTAGGACAAGTGTCTGTTTTACTTCTGTAATATGAACTGTTGTACAAACAACTATATCAATATAATCTGTGAATATTGCTGTAATTTTAACATAAACTTACAAACTGGACAGTCTCTGTTGAAACTGGACATATAGATAACTTAATAACCAAAATATGTGAATATTTGCTGTAGTTTTTACATGGACTGTGTCTAACTGTGTTGTACATATCTATAAACATGGCGGAAAGATGCGATGATACACATATCTGTAGTATTTGTTTAGAGGATTTTACTAAACCTAAAATACTGCCATGTTTTCACACGTTTTGTGAACATTGTATAGACAATTATATCAAAGCACATTCACATCTCAACAAATTTAATTGCCCTAATTGTAGAATAGCGATTCAAGTACCATGTAGTGGTGCAAGTGGGTTTACAACAAACATTTACATTCATCCAAAGGGTGAAACACAAAATAATTTCTGTACAAGACACAAGAGAAAAGAAGTAGAATTTTATTGTCGTGATTGTTCTGTTGCTGGTTGTGGTAGCTGTGTTATATTGGATCATACAACTCACTCAAAAACAGATCTTTCTGAAGTAGACCAAGAAATCAGAGGAAAGTTAAACATTATAAAGCGGGAGTTAGAAGGGAAGATTGATGAAGTCGAGAAACACTGTGAATCGTTAATCAATCAAATATCTGACATCAAGAACCAAGCTACAAAAGCCTGCCACAATGTTGATATACAGGTTCAAAGAGTGTGTGGAGAGGTCACAAAACATGGCGATGAGATAAAATGTGAAATGAATAAAATTTGTGATGAAGAAAGAAAAAAGTTACAGACATTACATGAAGATATGATCCAATTCAAAAGTTCCCTACATACCAGTGTTACATATATAAATGAGGTGCTGAATGGTAAATCCACTGTTCCAGTTGTAAATGCTTTAACCAATGCACAAACACTGACTGAAGACAGCAGATCAACCAGTTTCGATACACCCCTATTACGATATGTTCATTATCCTATGGTGAATGTAGATGTTAAAACTTTACAAACGTTGCTAGGAGAATTTAAAATAATGGAGTCACCAACCTGGATTACTAGGTTTAGTTTGAATGATATAGTTAAGACAGATACCAACTACAGTGGTGATGAAGAAATAATAATACAAGGAATGTCATGGTCTGTAAACGCTGAACATCGTACCGGTACAGGATTATGTTCGTTTCTGAATCTGAATGTAGCAGAAGATAAAACAGTTAAAACCGTTACAGCTAGTTATAGCCTGAAACTATTAAATATAAACGATGTAAGTAAATCTAAAGTGGGACAATTTACATGTACATTTACACCAGGTAAAGGATTTGGTTTTATCTTTATAGAGTGGAATAAACTAGAGGATGTGACGGAAGGGTTTATTAACAATAAAACATTTGATATACAGGCAACTGTACAAATAATCAGCATAGAACGATACTGACATTTATATTACAGAACATAGTACGATAGATGGGTGTCATCATAATACAAGGACATATTTCTATTGTTAGCCCAATATAAGGACATATATCTATTGTTAGCCCAATACAAGGACATATCTCTATTGTTAGTCCAATGCAAGGATATATATATTTATAGAATTACATAACATACTATGATCGGTGTCATATAATACAAGGACACATCTCTACTGTAAAATATGTTAGTTCAATCAAAATCAAAAGGGAACTTGGTTATTTATATGTCAAATGAAATAGATTTTAATGTTTAGTTATTTATATGTCAAATGAAATATATTTTAATATTTAGCTTACGCCTGGTCCCTGGATCCCTTCACTGTATTTGATATTTGTTGTTTATTTCTTGTAATGTCTGTAGTTTATCTTGTCCCCAGGTTTGTTTTGTCGATTTTGTTTTGTGTGTAGTGCGGTCCTCCTGTGCGTACTAACAGAATAAGGTGTGCATCAAAAGTCGTGTGTGCAATGGTTACGTGTGCAATGCAGGCAGAATAAACAAACCAGCGCCACCTATAATTGTTGGATAACATCTTTTGATGGGCCTGTTTTTAACCTGGCTGAATCCTAGCTTGAATATAATCATATATATTTGATTCTTAATCAAATGGCAATCAGCGATTTTAATTTCGGGGTCTTACATATTTTATTCTGATGATCATTGAGAACATCTGTAGCGGCACAGGTGAGTTCTGGTGTATTATACAACAACCTGAACTGACCCTGATAAACATGTATCATGATATCAGGTTAACCAGACATATAGAAGTGATTTTACCGCACGTGTTTCCTTGTCAAGTGCAGGACGAAAGCCTGCCTCAAACAAGTGACAAGGTTTTATTCCAGCATGTGTATCAAATTTTATCCCTTTTATGCACAAGGGGAAAAGTTGATGCAGTTTTTGCTTCACCACTGTTGGTTGTTAATATAAATTATATATTAAATTGTTGTGTATATTTATAAGGGAAAGTAATATTGTCATAATTATTATATATTTTTATTTTATGAAAACCATGTTACTTTATATTTTATTATATGTGTTTATATTAGTAATATTAATTTTGGGGTTTTTTTTTTATATAAAAGCCATATTATATTTCATTTGAAATTGGGTTGAGCAACAGGCTAGGCCTATGTTGACCTCTCTATTATTATATTATGCAGAACATATTCCCAGTTCTGTACCCAAGATCTCAACCTTGTGAAAACCGCTAATTGATTGCTTGGTATTAAATATAACCGCTATACAGTGGCTGCTTTGTATTAAATAAAACCGCTAATTGATTGCTTGGTATTAAATAAAACCGGTATACATTGATTGCTTGTTATTAAGTAAAAGCCCAATACAGTTCATTGATTTATTGCTATTAAATAAAACCGATATATTATATTGATTGCTTGGTATTAAATTAAACAAATTATTTCAAATAAAAACAGTAGATTATATTGTCTGTTAATTAATCAACAGTTATAAACCGCATACTTGTTATCTAATCCAGACGGTAGAAACTCAATATTTTTTGATGATTCTCAATGAATCTTAACAATTTGCAAACAGTGGTTTGAAAATAAAAAATACAGGAATTTCTCCTAAACAACTTCACTTACCACATGTTTAAAATGGAGTATGTGTGTGTGAGAGAGTGAGGAGAGAGAGAGAGGGGGATGGGGGGGGGGGTAAACATCCACTTGACACAGACTTGGTCATTTCGGAATTAACTCATGGTTCATTCAATTTTCTTTCAACAATAGGGGTCTTTAGCAGTTGGAAGGAAACCGAAATACCCGGAGAATACCTACGAGGTTGGACAGGCGACCATACTCCATGTTAAATGACAATATTGGTGCCAGTCATTATCACATATGTGATAGAACTGGTTAAACACGTACCAAATATTATTTTATCACAGAGATCATTGCTACGATAGAGGCGTAATCAATGCTTCAACAATCGGAAATGACGAACGCAAAAGGAAAACACTAGTTATCCTTCTATATAACTGACTGAAGTGACGAGTGATAACAGATACATGGGCGGGCGAATTTCTGCTCTTTGAAGACCAAAAGTTGTTATATGAGACTGTAAGAGTATCTACCTATTGTCGATCTTTATTTGGGCCTCAGATGTCATAGAAATTATAAATTAGATCTTTTTTTAAAAGACAAGCTCAAAATCAACTCTGTAGACCCTCGGATGGCTTGGATACATCTTGGATTTAAACAGTCTTCCCAAGCGGAGATTTACCGACGTCACTGACGTCACTCCCGGAGACTTCCGATAAAAGTGAAGAGGCTTCACTACGGTTACGAAAACCAGAGAACTTCTCTTGGCTTTCTGTGAAATGCGTGGTACACGGGATCCCCTCGGCAAATAGTGTTGAGGATATAACAGAAGACCTCAATCTTGGGGTGGAGGAGACCCATAGATCTAAAATAAAAGAGGGCAGCCAACACGACACTGTCCACCTGACCTTCCCGAAAGGCAAATCTCCCAGCACAATCGACACTGTCTACATGCGTAGACAGATATACCCGTATGTCACCACAATTCGACAGTCTAAAAATTGTCAGAAGCTGGGTCATACGGAGAAGTTCTGCTCAGGAAAGATTGCATGTGGTCGCTGCGGAAAGGACAACTAAAGTTCTGTGTGTCCGGGGACGTTAACAACATGTAGGAATTGCCAGGGTGACGACATGTCAAGTTCTAAAGTCATTTTTAAAATCCCCCTCGCGGGCCGGTCAAAGAGGGGTAGGTTGCAGGGAAGCCGAACTAAAGATATGATGGGTCTGGTTATCATGTTTAAGGTAAGTCTAAGATAATCATGTATAGTCATCATTAGACGATAATAAGGTGAGGCTAAAGTAACCCTGAATATCAGGGACATACAGAAAACAATATGACTAATAAAATGGCATGGTCTGAGTTGAAAATCAGCCCTGAATTAACCTTTAAACAAAATAAACATAATGGCCGTAAGGGAAGTGAAACTAGAACTCCAAAGAGTATTGACGTGTTTCGGTACGTAGACGTTCAACATGTTGAAGACGTCTCATAGCAAATTAAACTTAACACACTAAAGCAAAGATACGCTAAACAGTAAATCTTATGCAAGAACCGATAGAAAAGCAAACATGGATAAGATAAACCATCACGCGGCAGTTTTCATTAACCCTTCCTTGAAGTGTCAAATTTGACAATGAACCCCTCCCACGTGTATGACGCTATTGCGTGTCGCACGTGCAGCTCGGTGGTTCTGTTGGGGCGATAAGTTCTTCATCTGTGAACATACTCTCAAATCATGTCAAGTGCCCATGACTATTTATCATATCACAACCTGCATAGGTATTTGCATTTCAATATCCCCCACTTTTTTAAAGAGTATACAATAAAGCATAAGATATTATTGAAGGGTCGAGATAACCTACAGTACATATTAAAACCACACGTTTATTATATTATACAATTGGGGGCAATTGAAAGAAAGCGGATATCATATGTGAAGCCTTAAATAAATAGTTTCGTGGAAAAATACAAAACAGTGACTTGGTGATGACAAAAAATACAGGTAATATTATTGTATTACATTATAGAAGGGTCAAGATGACCCGATGTGAGGCGTAATTTAAAATGAAATGTAATGGGGTTTAACGTCCTACTGTTCTGCACCGGCTGGGCTAATTAAGATGGGCACATGCCATATACCACACAGTGTACCATGAGATAAATTTTGACCAGAAAGTGGCACTACGGCCTACTCTTATATCGATTTTCAACTGTCAAGAGTTCTTTCACGTGCACGCCAATATGTACACGGGAATTCAATTTTTGTCCCATCCAAACTACTACAGTCTTGCATTACTGACAAGGGTAACCACGCCGGAGAATGCCAAAACACTTTATCTACACCGTAGGTGATCAGTAAACTATAGGTTAGAATGTGAAAAAATATACGATTTCTTTTCGTAAAACAGGAAGTTATAAAGCCATATCATATCTGTCCTACACTGTTTTCTTTCTCCAAAGATCACATACATGCTTCATAATGCACATTCCATTTGTAATAAAATTTACAGAAAGATATATTTTTTTTTTGAATTTCCTGCTCATTGACCCTCTATAAACGAAGTCTCACAAGGACACACAAAAAAACCACTGATAGGCCCTACATGTAAATATTTTGACGAAGATAGTCAGACAAAATAGTAAAACTATTTATTTTATCGCACCGTGATCGAAATATAGGTCTGTATTTTAATCAGATTGTTGGGGCAGTTAAATTTTTAAAATTTTCTCCGGGAGCGTGAGGCCCAATTGATTGTTTGTTTGGGATTTAGGTAAGTCACCTAAGGTAGGTTAATTGTACCACATTAAAGTTACTGTATTCACGGGATTGAAGAGGAGCAAAAATGCACTTGCGGCAGTTAAATTTTCAACATTTTCTCCCGACGGTCCCATTTCCGTAGACTGTAAACCAGACCACGTTGAAGTTGTTGTATTCATGCACTGAAAAAACACCTGTGTTGGATCTCAACTAATCTACACAAGTTAGGTGTTGTTTTGCATTGCATTAACACAAACTTGTGTCGATTTATAAAATCTTGTGTTTTTTTCATATCATTAACACAAGTAATGTGTACCTTCCAAGATTTGTTTTCTTTTTTAAAAAAAACTCCATACAAAGTCTGAATTCGGGAGTCGTCAAGTTTTAAGAAAAGTAATAAAGGGCTTAATTCACATCTCGAAAATCACATGCTGTTCTTCACTGGAAGGGTGTGAGTACCAATTAATCAAACAATTGCCAGACAGACTTGAATGTTAATTGATGTTAAGTTGTCTGTAAAGTTAAAATGTCTGTCTTTTTTTATTGACCCAATAAACTGATAGATCAAATGAATATATAGTGTTTTCGAAGATTGATTCAATGTACAATGAACAAAAAAAAATGAGTAAAACTCTTAATAATGTAATTGGTTGATGTAATCGAAATTGGACAGTATTGGTTAACTGAAAAGTAACCAATCAAATTTAATTGATCATCCACGTGTATCTCATAATCGACTTATTGATATAATGGTTCTCCAAGTTATCTATTCTTTTTGTCTGCGATATCACTTCGGTGGAAGCGGACGTAAAATACAACTAACTAAGAAGAAGTATCTATACTTTAGTCATTGCGACAAATTCTTTCTTTGATATTATATCAGCGACTTTCAGTTAGATAGATGTAGTGAAGTTAGCATTAACAGGGTGCTTTAGCCGTGATATTTTAAAAAAAAAATAATAATGGTCACATAGAATACCAGAACGCAGGTTTGTAAATTTTTACAAAAAATAAAACCGTGTATTTAATTTAGCATGTATATATTGCTTCTATGTATATAATAATTCGTTTCGTTTAAAACAGTCAGATTTAGAACTACTGCCACTGACTGCACCGGAAGTCTATTTATATAATGGCGCCACAAAGAAAATTTTTTTGATGTGTTCTAAAAGTGTTCCGCTAATTCAGCAATCTAATGAATCTGTCTTAATTTTTCTGAAATCGTGCTTAATTATTATTAGCTAATCGGCGCTACACCGTTGTTCAAATACTTATAATTGCAAGAAACCCCCGCCTAGGACCAGCAGGTAAGAATCTGTCTTGATTTTATAGTAATACCCGGTTGCAATTATTGGCCGCCATCTTTGATTTTTATAGACGTTCGGGCAAAAGGAGAAATGTGTATCCAGACATGGACTATAGCTAGATACTAACTTTTGTGTTAGTTGTTTAGTTGAAATGTAATCTTATTTCTGTAAAAGAAAAAAACAACAACAAACAAATCAGCCTTTTTTTTATATCAATGTCATCAATGTGTAGGCCTAATATTAGACTTTCAATGATTCAGAAGTTTCTCTACAGTTTCGTTATTTTTTTTTCCAGTCATTGATGTTAGCATGTACTACACAAAGAAAAACAGGTAACAGAATTTCATTTCCTTTTAATATATTTTTTTAATAATGGCCAATAATTGTTATTGTATGTAACACGAAAAGTATTTATCTCTGTAGCGAGAGGGCGAGTAAATGGGGTTTAAAGTTCACTAAATTCACTTGACACAAACTATGCCATTCATTTCCTTGTATTAAATTGGTCGAATCAAGTAGGTCCATGCTATATATATGTCCTAGAATCAAGTAGGACAGGTAGTCTTATTCCGCCCTTTTTTCTGAACACTGTCTCATTCTATTGCCATCTGTGTATGTTGTGTTATATTAATTCTGCATAATTAACTCTAGTTAACCCTATAATAATAAATGAATTTAATATATACTATTCAAAAAAAGTAGGGGATATTTGATTTTGGGGGCATAATACTAAAATATGCAAATGACTAATGCCAGTTAAAGAATGATAAAATACAACTAAAAAGATGGCAATATTTCTGCCAGT